TGTCACTCATTACTATGGAGCACAATACAGATTTCAAGCGACGTCGTGAGTAAGTCTCGTGCACATTTGACTCTGGATCCCACGAACTGTTCGTCCTCGAGTTCTTAGGTGTAGTTAAGTCCTGCCCAGGGGCTCTTTCAATGATTTAATGTACATGCATCAAGTAACCAGCAGTTTTCTACTTTGTTTATTTTGGAGACCGTTGAGTTGTTATTACCATTGTTATTGTTTGCTTCCGAGGATTTTTTCTGTCGTTGCATTGGTTTCGTGACTTCCCTGTGACTAAAACTGCAACATTAACATCTGCCTGATACGAGACGTGTTTGTGATGCAACAATTTTGTTTTCATAATTACATTAGTCCAGCTATTTATTTTTTGACTCATTTTTTCCCATGCATGATTTTTAGAGCTTTTAAGTTTTCTGTTAAAGTTATCATATCTTTAACAAGTAGCCCTAGTATTGATACATTTTATGTTCATGTTTGTTTTAGGAGAGGAACCATTCCTGCATCCAAAATGGATGTTTACGTTCCAGGTCGTGGTGTAAGTATTGCTTTCCAGCCTTCTTAGTCATATCAGCTTAAATTTCTATAGTGCTGTAAATTTTAATAAATTGACGTGGCATTTGCAGCTGTCACCAGCTCTGATGGAATCATTGGATTCAATTTCCTCCAGTATAGTTCCAGAGCCACAAAGTGTCTCCACTTTACCAGATATTACTGTCACAACTGAACAGTTCACATCTTTAAGACTACATTCAGTGTCTGAAAGTAAAAGCTTCTTACTTTTGGATGCAAGTGAATATTTAAAGGTACTGTTACTTTTGCAAATACCAAAGATTCTCAGCACAACTCTTTTATTTAAGAGTTTAAATATTCTATTCATTGAATTTTTATTTATTTTTTTGTAGGTTCCATCTGCAGAAAAGTTTGCTAGGTGTCTTGGTTGCCCAGATGCCTCTTCAAAAGTCAAAGTGGTTGCCATTGTGGGAAATTCAGGCGATGGAAAGTCATATACCATGAACAAAGTATGAATCAGAAGAAAAGAAAATATTGTTCCTTTCACCTTTTACAGCTGTGTCATGTGTCACCATTATCACTAACTATTTCAATATTTTCTTATACTTTTTAGGTATTTTTCCAAGGAGAAGAAGTGTTTGAAACTTCTAGTGAACAGACAAGTTGTACAATGGGAGTATGGGCAGCATTTGACCCTTGTCTAAATGTCATTGCCTTAGATACAGAGGGACTCTTAGGATCTACTACGCGTGAAGATCAGCGCACACGGCTACTTCTCAAAGTGAGGAGCTATTCTGTCCACTCAGTGAAAACTTTAATTTTCTGTTAAATTTTCATCTTTTAAACGATTTTTTTTGTATGTTTTTTTATGTGAACAGATATTGGCTGTCTCTGATGTTGTTATCTTCCGCACAAGGGCTGAGCGCCTGCACACTGACATGTTCAGGTTTTTAGGATTCGCATCTCAAGCATTCACTCGTCACTTTCGAAATGCTTTGGGTAGCGTCAGCTCAAGAGGTGGTTTTGGAGGAACTTTGTCTGTTCTTGGTCCTGCTGTTATCATCTTCCATGAAACCAGGGACACTCAACCTCTGCGTGGCTGTAAGCTTTTTCTGACAGACATGCAAACTTTTTCTTTGAAACTGAATACTGTAGGCTTTTGCATATCAACCCTCTTTTTTTCCCAGCACATTCAGAGACTGTTGAAGACAAGCTTCGTTCTTTCTTCTCTGAGCTCAACTTAAAAACTGATGCATTCAGTTCCATTAGGTACATTGGAACTCAAACCAAAGGCATGGTCACCAATTTTTCAGAACTGAGGGATGTTATTCGTGCTGAGCTAAATAATACAAGTGTGAGATCAGCAAGGCAGACAGACATCGTCTATCAGGCTTTAAAGGTAAAATACTCACGTAATTTTCAAATTCCCACTCTGCTTGTTTGATACAATTATCTTAATGGTATTATTTGGGAACATTTCAGGTTCTGAATGACAAATTTAGTGGGGAACTGATTGATTCTCAGCCATTGGTTTTCCTAGACGAATACTTTACTTGTGCATCCAAATGTTTGTCTTGTGATCGACGCTGTGAGGCAAGCATGGGACATCAGAAAGATGGACAGCCACATTTGTGCCAGGAGCGTTGCTGGTAAGAAGGCTAATCATGCATTATTTTCAGTGTGAATTGTTATTCAAATAACATCCATTGTACCCTGATTTCAGCTTCCAAGCACAATTCAACAATGTTTTGTACACATGTAAAACATGTCACACCAAAGGACAACAAGTAGTTGTCACTCCAAGTGAGCCTTCTTGGTTTGGTTATGCAAAGCATGCCTGGTCGGGGTATGGATTTTCTCTCATTTATGTACAGTTTAGGTTTTTGTGTTTAAATCTTTACCTTATTGATTTTCTTTTGGCAAAGGTACACCATAAACTGTCCATATTGTGGAGAAATATATAGAAGTAGACAGTATTGGTATGGTAACAGAAACCCTGAAGATACTGTGGTGCGCACAGAAATTACACATGTTTGGCCAGGGGTATGTGAGTTGGAGTTGTAATGTCAGTCTTTCAAAATATCTTAGCTAAATATTTTAGCTCTCATTTGTCTCTTTGATTCTAGAGCAACACACTATTGAATAATTCTCAAAATACAGCTCAGAAGGTTTTAGATGGTGTCACATTTTTATCGGAAGCTGTTGCAAGTGTGGGCTCACAGCCAACCCGATACTTGACATCACAGTTGGCAGATTGGATTGCTCCAAAATATTGGCGACCAAATCATGAAATTCTGGTAATTAATGATTCTGCTCTAGAGTTTAGACTTGCTTCTTCAGTTTACCATGTAAAGGGAAATATTTTCTGTCTCAGAATTGTTTCAAATGTGAGAAAACATTTGCGACTGCTGAAACAAAGCACCATTGCCGCTCATGTGGAGAGGGCTTCTGTGATAAGTGTTCTTCAGCTACTTGTCCAGTACCTGAACGGGGATGGACTGAGCCCGTTAGAGTCTGTAATGCCTGTTATAAACTCAGTAAGTTCTTTTCCTGCTGTTTTGTCATAATATTTTTCATTACTTCAATTTAATATTTTACAAAAATTCGTTTTACAGAGAAAGGGACTGTGGTGCGACCTAACCCAGCTGATGACGTTGAAGTAAGAGCCCGAAAGTACGGAGAAGTTGTTGTGAACACTTTTAGCCAAGTAGCGTCAGTCCTTCAATATCCCAAAGGTGATGTCAAAATCCACCCTACATATTCTTTGCTGGTGGTCTACATTTTAATGTTTGACTTACGTGTGTATGTGTTTGGGTACATCATTTTACAGAATTGATCAAAGACTCCGCCAGACCTAGCTACTGGGTCCCTGACCATGAAGCCAAGGAATGTGCGGTGTGCAAAGAGCCCTTTGGCCCTCTGCTTCTGCTCCACCACTGTAGAGAGTGCGGTCAGGCTGTGTGCCACCCCTGCTCTCCAAAGCAAAGGCGCGTACCGCGTCGCGGCTGGGAGACTCCCGTCAGGGTTTGCAATAACTGCATGAAAGAAGACTGATTCTTCTCTTCCAGCTTTCATTCATGTCTTTGCCCTGGTCTGCATTTGTCAGGTGGCCTGAAGTCATGGTAATGTTGTCCTGCATCACTTTTTGACAAAGGTCTGACATGTATCTTATTTTTATCTTATTTACCTGTGTTACATCTGGTCTATATCTTCAGCTGTGTTGCTGTTACTACAGTAGTATGGTGAATGGCTGTTTGGCCCCTTACTCTGCATACGCAGATTTTTTTTCATTGGGGTCACTTAGATTTGATTGATCACCCAGTATTCTATTTGTATCCTTTACCTAATCAACATCCTTTTTACTTTTTAAAGTAATTTAATTGTTTTATGGGTAGCTTTTGAATGTATGACAATAGAACAAGAGCTGACTGCAAGAGGAGAAATGTGTGACTCTGGCACTGTAGGGCTTGTCTTGTGACTCAGTGGAGCTAGTATGTCTTGAAATTAATAAGCTTTCCATTCTTTGGTTACAAATATTTGCTGGATTTGTGCAGTAAAACTTTTTGTGGTATTATGAGGCTGTGATTTGTTGAGGGAGAAAGAGCGTCAAGGGGAAGCTAGTTGGAATGGAACAATTTTTATTAATGTAGTTTATTATTTAATGAACCCAATTGTCACTATAATTATGCTTTGATGTAGGCACTATATGTTTTTGTTTGTTTTGTTTTATTCGTTTCACTAAACAATAATAATAAAATTTGAATGAGGGGTGGACTTTAGAGGACATTGTGTTTCTTATCAGGCAAGCTCTAGAGCTTAAAATAGCAATAATACATCTTAAAAGCTTGGTTTCACCCTCGTCCTGTGAATGTACTTTATTTGTACTAAACTAATTTTGTACTGGAAAGGGTAGGATTGAAAGACCAGATCATTTGTGTAGATGACTTCAGTGGTTTTGTATGTCGTACCCTAGTGATTTGTTTGCTATAGTGTGGAACATGAATGATAAAAAAGAAATGAAGAGAAAAGAATTCTCTGCTGTACTTATTTACTGTGAGACTTTCCTCTGATTTTCATGAACTATTCACTATCTGTTTGTAATGGAATGTGTCCAAATTTATTTGCATTTTCAATCAGCCTTATTATGATCTTATAGCTGCAAGCTGTTGGTTCCTTTATATTTATTCCAGTCAATCTGCTGACTTATTAAATATTTTAAAACGCTCACCTTAAAGCACACCACTCCTAGGAAAAGAAGTAAGTGCTTGTTGGGTCTTGGGTCTGTCTGAAGATTTCAAACTGCAGACCATTGCTCTTGTGATAGACTGTGATTTACTTTTGATTTTCTTTTTTCTACTAAAGGAGAAGTATTGTCTGCCATTTCCTTTATGCCAATATAGTTTCCTTGTGGTCTGCTGTGACTTCAGTGTCTATCTGTAAGTCATTTTAACTTAACTTTGTTCTAATAAAATTTCTTTTTATGAAAGTGTTGACCCAAAGATATTATCTCAGTTTCCTGACTGATAAATAATCTTGAAAGAGGTGTTGTATTCAACTTGGTTCAAACCAGGTTCTTCTTTATGAGTAATTGCAATAATTTGGTCTGTGAATTACTCAGTTGACAAATTCCTACAAAAAAAAAATTGAACCCCCTTATCACGGTAAACTAATTCTTTCAAACTTAAAACCCTTGAGCCTAGAGGGATTCTTTGTATTACTGATGGTTGCTGTTTGTTAATTGTGTTGTGAATCTCTGAGCATTAGGAATCTTTTGTGGCTGTCTTAAAATAGATAAATGGGAAAGTAGGGATGATTTCCTCCGATTGCAAGTGTCATTCATCTTAAAGAAATTGAATGAAATATTTTAATCAGCACTGTTATTGTAAAGATCTAATAATTTTAAAAGACAATGGCAGTCATTGATAGTATTTCATTTTAAATATTCTTCAATCTCATTGGAGGTGCCTTTCAGTCGAAGTTGAAAGTACAGTATGTGGGTTGTAGGTGGAGTTTTGCTGCTTTATTGATAAATAATTACGTATCAATTTGTTTAGTGGTAGAAATATCTGAGATGTCACAAGAAGCTTCTTATGACTGTTTATTCTATTTTGTTAACTTCGATTGGTCATTGTAGGTTCTCTTTTGTATTAATCATAATTATTTTGTAATTTGAAATAAGTTGTAATAACATGGTGTTGAATTTTAAAATACCTGTGACTCCACCAAACCAGCAGTAATAATGATAAATAAAAAATTGAGACAAATCCTTGTTCATCGATTTCATTCAACTAGGCGCAGTCAAACAAGCCAGCGAAACGTCTCAATGACAACGTGCCCAGCCCCCTCCGCAAACATACTACCTTTGTTTTGCCTCTTTCATGCCTTGACCTTCACGTTTGCTTCCTTGTGGAAAAGAGTTTCCCCGATTTGAAGTTGGGCCGCGCAATCAGCTGTTCTACCATAACAAAGTACGCTCGTTTGTTTTCTTTAGGTAGTCTTTGCTTTCTTCTTTCTTTCCACTCGTGATACCAACTTTCATTCATAATAAAAAATTAATTTCCCAATGGTTTCTGCTAGTTGAAGAAAAATGTATGCCAAAGGCAAAATTATCTTTCGTAGTTGAGAGTTATCTTATTCCTTCTTAGCGACCCTTCGTTGGAGGTAGCTTTTAATTTACCTTTTTCATTTCAATACGAGACTCGTTGCGTAAAACTTGAGTCGCGGTTATTTTGAGGTGCTCAGTTGGCAACGGCCTGAAGACGCGAGCGAGCAATCTGGTGGAGCATCGTATCGAGTCGGAATGCTGTGTACAGCTAGTTTTAGGGCGTAAATTTTCGGTTTTAAAGGTAAGTGAAAATTTAATGGCCACATCCGACTTGCGTCTCCAATACTCCTCCTTATTTTGTTCGTTTTCAGTGTGATTTCGTAGCGTGTTACTTGCTATAATCCTTTGAAATCGCCAGGTCATGCCTTGGCCTTATTCGTCCAAGGTGTCTGACTGAAACTTGACCCATATTTTGAGACGCGTTGATTCGGCTGACGAGAGTTAAAACAGGATATATTTGGAGATTTCCGCATTGTCATCATAGTACTCCTTGCTTGTGGTGATTATTTTACCCCAAATTTGCCTTGTTTTTGAGGCATACATCGGCTGGGTTCGAATTTATGCCGTATTTGCTTTCATGTTTCCACGTCTAGCCCGTGGTGTGAAGTAAACATAACCATAGGATAGCAAGTACCACGCGGCTTACTCTTTGCTGTAGGTGCCTAGCTCACTGGTCTTAAACTTTTCCAACGTCTTGAAATTCTTGTCCTCTGTAAAATTGAAGCAGTGAATACACTTGACGATAGATTTTATTTCCTGTGGACATGCTGGCTCAAAGGCTATGTATGGACTTTTTTTTTGTTTCTTAAAGAGGCAGTTTTAGCTAAAACTTTTCCTTCAACTTGTTTTTAAATGGCCTACACTTGTTGATACCCTCTGCTTGTTGATGTAGTTTGCCTCTGAGTATGTGTGCATAGTGACTTCTACTTCTGGCTTCTTTATACAGTTGCTAAGGTTATATTACTTCTGGTCTTAGTTAGCGGCACAGGATTTGTACTGCTGTAATGCATTATCAGTACAAATTTTGCTGGTCTTGCTGAAATTTACCGTCATTTATGGCAGTGGCTCTCCTCAAAAAAGAAGCCCTAGCTAGGCGTCCCGAGTTGGTGTCAAATATGGGAAAGGCTTTGAACTTTTATTTTAAAAATTATCATTTAGCCCTTTTTGTAGTTGCGTTTGATTCTAAAGCAAATTCACCGTAAACCATTTGCTTTTAATGCAAACCGGAACGGTTTGTGTCCTCCCTCCTAAGCACCCCCACCGTGGCCTGGACCTGTTCCAGGCGCTGCAAAGGCCTGCTTCTGCTTCCAATGTCCAGACGCCCAGGCCGGACAGATTTCATTGGGATTTGGGACTGAATGGGGCGGATTTCATGAGAGCCTGAGCCGGGCCGGGCCGGGCCGCGATAGTCGCGCGGCTCGGTGCTTGGTGACGTGGAGCAAGCAGAGCAGCGTGGAGCTGCCGCGCTGCCGGGGTCGCGGCATCGCGGCGGCCCGGACGTCATCGAGTGCGCCATGGCGTAGCGGCGCGTAGCGACCAAGTTCTGTGACGCTGGGGGCTGAGACTACAACGGCATGGCGTCATGGCGCGTGCCGCACGGCCGTGTGCTACGCCCGAAAGGCCGATGGCGCGTGCACATCGCTGTACTCTACGGTCGACGGCCAGGTGCCGCAGGTGGCGGCGACCGCTGCACTCTGCCACGACCACGATGGCCCCAGGTCGGGCCGCCTTGCGCGCCTCGCGCCGCGGGTGCGGGCCTCGGCCACATCACGCGAACGGCGGCGGCGCGGCGGCCGCGGCGAGCGCGAAGCAAGGTGCTAATTGTTAACCGAGGTTCGCCGGGCGGCAGGCCGGGCAGGCCGCGGCAGGCAGGCGCGGCGCGTGCGTGTCGCGGCGTACTTTGGCTGCGCCGCCCCGCGCCCCTCCGTCTAGTCCGCCACTTTGGCCTGGACGGCGTTTTCCGAAAGGGTAGCGAGGGAAGAGCGCGGCGGCCTGCCTGGCGTAGCCTGTCGAGCCTGGCGCCTTGGCGGCGAGGGGCATCGGCAAGAGATGGCGACCTTCGCGCTGCTTATCACACACACACACACAGGCACTCGGACAAGCAGCCACGTGGGCGCCGCTGCTAGGCGAGTAGGTGTGTGTGTTTGTGTGTGTGGTGCAGTAATCAGCCCTCGAAAATTCCATCTCGCCGCCGGTGTTTGCAGCAGCCCCTTCTCCTTGTCCCCACCCCTCGGGCCGGCGTCTCTTTCCTGGTCACCCGGTTGCTCCGCGTGGCTCCGCGCTGCGCCGGCCCGCGAGGCCCCGCACCGCTCACCAAGGTCGCCGAGATGCTCGTCGCTCGACGCGCTGTTCGACCCGAACACCAACACCCCCGTCGGCGTGGCGGCCTGGCCTGGCCAGCGCGCCTCGCATGCATATGTGACGATCCGGCGGCGTCAGGTCCGCCTCGGCAGCCGCGGCTCCTCCGCCGCGTTGATCGCAATAAACCTGGGCGAGGGGAGGGGGAGGGGGTTGCAGCACGAGGACCGCGAGGACCGCGACGAGCGCTACGCACGGCCGTCGCCATGGATACGCCCGCCGCCGCCGCTCGGATGCTGTAGTCATGGAGACGGCATGGACCGAGTCTCGTGCGCTGCCCGCCGCGGCCACGTGACGGTCTGACGGTGACGGGCTCGATGCGGCGCTATGGCTGCGCTATGGCGGTTGGGGTGCCCCACTCCGCCTCTGGTCTGGCGGCCCGACCCGCCCGGCCAGCCAGAGCTGCAGTCCAGGCGCTCTCCGTCCTCAGGTCGCGGGTTCGATACCCAGCCGCCGCGGTTTGCGCCCCCACCCCACCGCACCAGCCAGACGTGCCAGGCCCCGCCGCCTCCAATCTGGCGTGCAATTAGCTCGGCTCGGGTTGCGCCGCGTCCACAGGCTGCACGGAGTACGGAGCGCGCACTCCGCACGCGACTAACGGCGTCGACCGGGTTGCCATGCCGACGCCGTGAAGCCAGGTGGCGTCAGGTGGCCGAAAGAGGGCATGCAGGAGGTGTTGAACGGTCTGACCCCCTTCCGCCGACGACCACAGCGGCGGCGGCGGCGCTGCGCTCCGCGCGCGACCGCGAACGCCTGGAGGGTAGGCGTCTGCCTGTCTGCGCCGCACGGGTGCGCTCGCGTTGCCTACCTCGCAGGCGCCCTCCTCGCGCCGGGACTCATTCCGTCCGTCGTTTTCGTCGCTCTGTCTCTCTCGTGCCCATACGGGACGCCCCGGACATAGCGCGGCTTCCGGGGTCGCTTACGGAAGCCCCCCCGCGGCGGCAGGCGCCAGGTGAATCTCGGGCGACGCCATGCCGACGCATTGCCCGGCAGTCGCCGCCAGTGCCGACGCGACACGCCCCCTTCACCCTAAATAACCACGGACTGGGCCGCCGGGCGTCGCGTCGCGTCGGCCCTTGTCGCCACGCCCCTCCGAGCAGGCCCTGATGCAGGCGGCCGTTTAGCCAGCGCGTCCTTCCTCCACAAGAGTGCCTTCCTGGTCCCCCGGCGGAAAGGAGAGGGAGTTTAAATTTAGCGGCCGGGCCACGGCGCCACGGCACGGCCAGGCACGGGCTCGGCGGAAGAACCTGGCCGTGTGCACGTCGTGCACGTACACGTTGTAGACGTCGCACACGTAGGCCGCGGCACGGCGCCGAATCGGTTGCGTGGTCGCGAGGACGCATCGAGCCGCTCTGGCACTCTGGTGACAATGTGTGTGTGTCTGTGTGAGCGTCGGCCGTGCGGCGACGTCAATTATCTGCGAGCCGAGGGTCGGGCCGGTCGGCCGGCCGGGCCGCGTTCGGTAATAAGTGGAGTCTAGTTCGTACTCCGTAGTGTAGAGTGTAGTGGGGAGTCGCGCTGTCGCCGCGACGCCGTGCTCGACGGCCAGGCTGGGGACGGACCGGCGGACCGGCGGCAAGTGGCGCCGCCACAGCCCCAGCAGCCGCAGCCCGCCGCACCGCCACTGCCTGGCCGCGGGCTGGGGGCGCTGGGGGCGCTGGGGCTGGGGCTGCTCGCTGGCCGTTTCGGCGCCGGGATGCGGGACGACGCGGGGCGATGCGGGGGCGCGACGGGATTAGACGGCTTTGCCGACAGGGAGCGAAGTTTGGCGTCGTGTTTGCTTGCTGCGGGCTGCTTAGTGGGAGTGGCGCTCGCCGGGTCCAGCTGCTCTGGACGGCCGGCCGAGTGGCACCCCCACTGCAGCGCGCTCGCCATGGCGGGTTGCAAGGGCCGGCCGAAGACGAAGGCGGTGTCTGCTGGGGCCGTGGCCATCGTGCGGAGGAGCCTTGCGTTTATTTGGGGGTGCGCGGTGCGCGACATTGACCTCGACACAGTTCTAGCGTAGAGCGGCAGCGCGGCAGTACGGCGTGCACAGAGTTAAGGCTCGCCGACCTAGTCGGTGTCCTCCAGCCAGGCGCGCGCCCCGCCCGCGTCTTTGTCTCCGTGACGCAGTTCGGCGAGTCGGAACGGGCGGAACGAACCCCGCCGCTGCCTGCCAGGCCACCCGGGCGAGAGAAAGAAGAAAGGGGGCTGGGCCGCCCCTGGCCGCCCCGCGGGCACGCCGCGCAGGCGGGGCTGAAGCCGCGTGGGTGCCAGCGCGGCGTGGCGCGGCGTGGCGCAGCGTAGTCGCGGTAACCATGACGACGGCGCCTCGTGGGGCTCGCGTCGCGGGCACGGGGCCCACGGGGCCCACGGGGCCCACGGGGCTCTTGCAGGCGGGCGGCGCGCTTGCTTGCCTCCCCCGCTTTTGCGCCGCGTTTGCTCGATAGTCACTCCCCCCGCCCTCCTCACCTGGGCCACGGCGGCCAGGGCGGCCAGGGGCCGCGGCGTCGCTCAGCCCCCGCGCCCTTTGAACCACCTGGGCCGCCGTGGCCGTGGCCGCTCTCCCCTTTATGGCCGAGGCGCCCTGCCTCGCCCTGCGGCGCGGCCCGCCCAAGGGCCTGCCATGCCGGTCGGGTCGGGGCGTCTAGGGCGTCTCAGACACCTGTGCGCTCCGCGGCTCCGCGACCCACTGCCTCGACGTGGTCGCGTGCGCCGCCGTGCGCCGCCGTGCGCCGCCAGGCGTATTGACGGGGAAGCCCTTCCGGGCCGTTGCGAGCCCTGCAGAGACTGCTTCCGAGAGTCGTCTTCGTTGCTCTGTCTCTCTCACACCCACACGGGACGCCCCATGAGTGCGAGAGAGACAGAGCGACGAAAACGACTCCCGGCATCCGTCTCCTGGCCTCCTCGAAGGCGGTTGGCGGGGGCCTTTCTGGAGTGACGCGGCCCTCTGGTCTTGGCTTGACTGTCCCTTGCTTTTACGCGCTTTCGCCCCGCGGGACGCAACGACACAACGCCTCGCCACTGTAAAAGCACAACGACCGGCAGGGGGGGGGGGGAGGATGTTGCAGCCGGCCGCCGCCGCTGAGGGAGGCCTGCCGTAAAATTGATTGTTTTTGGACCAGGATGGCCGGAATGGACGGGCCACTACACTACAACACGCCGCCAGGGAAATGCACGGCACTGCCAGGCGCAGGCACTGGCAAGAGCGGAGCAAGGCCCGGCAAGGCCGTCGTTTGTTGCCCGTGGACGCGGCGCGGCGTGCGTGTCGGCGGGCCGTCCGGAAGTGTGCCGGCATGTCCCGCGACCACCGCGACACGCAACGCCGCGCGGGGGTGCTCTGCACCGCGCTCTGCACTGGTACTGGGCCCGCTATTAGGGCAGGGCAGGTTGGGCCCGGGGGAAGGACGAGGACACGCTCGCCAGGCCCCCGCTAAAATGACCATGTTGTTGTTGTTGATGTAATCGGGGAAGTTGGTACAGTGTCGTTACGCCATGGGGACCCGACGGCCGAGGCCGACGGAGCGGCAGTTTGATTCGGCGGCGTGTTGGTCGGCCCGGCCGGGCCCACGCCACGCCGAGGCGGCCAGCGTGCGTCGAGTTAGGCCCGCCCCGCCCCGTGTTGGCAGATACAAAGATACAGAAGCCGGGCCACTCTTGGCGGCGCGGCGCCCCGATATTGATTGCTTTATCTCGGCCGCAGTTTTGCTCGTGCAAATCGTGAAACCGATTCCGCCGCCCCGCCGGGCCCGCGCCCCACTGCGCGCCGGGCGGGGTTGGCGGGGGCGGGGGCGGGCTCTGCGTCTGCGTGGCCATCTAGGGGCGGCACGGTCGCCGTCTACGGGCGCGGGAGCCGCTCCGCTGTGCTCCGCTCCGGGCTGGGCTGCGGGTTGCGGGTGGGCGGCGGGAAGGCGCGAGGCGAGGTGGCGCTACCCCAGCGGGGGCGGCGAGGGTGGGGAGGCCTTGCCAATTGGCGTGTTGTCGCCATGGAGACAGGTTACCCCCGAGGGGCGCGGGGGCGCGCCGGGAGCGGGGGGTGGCTGAAGGAGGGTGGGGGCAGCCGCGGCCCTGCCGGCCCAACCGAGCGGACGGACACGCGGACTCGCGGGCTCCAGCACCTCGAGCCTGCTCCAGCCCCTCCAGCCCCGGCACCCCTCTCTCATGGCTCCACTTGCGTCCCGCCTCCACGCGCTCCCCGCCACCGGTCCTGTCGGAATGAGCGTGACGGATTTGGAGATGTTCGACTTAGTTCAGATCCGCTCCTGGACCTTTTCATGGTGAAAAGCATCGGAAGCAAGTGGAACTCTGCCCCCTCCCCTCCCCCCACGAAAAAGGGGGAAAACCCCCCTCTTCTCGAAGCTAAATGTCCCATGTTAACAGTGCCCTTAATTAAAACATTTTTCCTAAATGTCTTTTGTTTTGATTGTAGGTCTATGACGAGGCTGCTCAATGGCTCCTGAAAGACCATGTCTGGAGGATGGCCCTGGAGTTGCTGTTGCCCACGTGTTCTCTCTGAATTCCAATACAATGTTGTTAAAGGTAAATCATCATGACCCTTTTCCTTCCACCTACTTCTTTATTGTTTGCAACATTGAAAAGCTTATCTCTTTTAATTATGCTTCAGGAGGGCGAAAACACGCTGATAGAAGAACAGGTCGGTGTGGAAGATGATGATCTGACATCTCTTTCATGGCTTGTGCAGAATAAAAATATATTGAAGGGTAAGTATTTGAACAGTTTTCAGAAATGCTCTCTCTTACAAATGTTTCTTGTGTCATTATATTTTTTGGTGTTTTTTTTAGGGATAAATTTGAAGCCTGGAGCTGCCCAAACGTCTCCTACAAGTGACTTTGCTGAAGATGGAAGTAGCATCAGTGAGAAAAGTGAACGAGGGGATTCAACCAGTTCTTCTGGCACTGAACCGGTCAGTGTCACAAGTGGGAACACTGGTAGTACTGCTGTGACATTTATTGACACGGATCATTCTGTCATTAAATCTGTCAAGACTTCCAAGCAGAAACATCCTCATCATATTCCTTATGATCCCATGGTATGATTTTGATCCCTGCTCCTCTTGTTGTTCACCATGTCATATGATTTTATCCTGAATACTAACTGCCTATTCATGATTCAGGTTCATGTCAATTCAAAGCCACCATACTCCTTTTCGTGTCTCATATTCATGGCTATTGAGGACTCACCAGCTCGTGCCCTTCCTGTGAAGCAAATTTATAACTGGATCCAATCACATTTTCCCTTCTACCGCAATGCTCCAACAGGGTGGAAAAATTCTGTCCGGCACAACCTCTCCTTGAACAAATGCTTCTGCAAAGTGGAGAAAGCTCCTGTAAGTTCATGTTTGATATGTATTGATTTATAAATTTGAATTTTCCTTTTCTAACAACATGCTTTGTCATATCATAGCATCTGGGCAAGGGATCCCTGTGGATGGTTGACCCCGTTTTTCGGCCAAATCTGCTGCAATCTATCAGTAAAGCACCTGTTAATTCACTGACATTTTTGGAGCGACCATCTTCTCAGTAAGTGTTTTTTTTTTTTCCGTTTCCTATAGCACTTCATTCTTTGCCCACCAATGTTTCAATCACCCCTGAATTATTTTTTCCCCTTATTTCCAGTCCTGATGCATGTTTCCTCCCCTCCTTGATTCCTTACCTTTTTTCCCCATCAGTGGTACCAGTTTCTTCTTAATTTGGTACTATATACTTGTAGTAAACATCACACTGCTATTCTTAAACTAATATTTGCTACTAATCTTTGTCATCAATATTCTTACAGCTTGATGAATTTGAATGGTCCTGAACCCAAATCAAATGGAAATTCTTTAAAATACTTGGGAAGCAACAGCCAAAAAGGACAGAACAAGGTTTCACGGCTGCCGAATGCAGAGTTGTTCCCATTCCTCAGTCGGCGACTAGCAGCATCTGGAGTTGAAATCCCAGGGGTAAGCCGTCTTGAAATTGAAGGGGAGACTGATGATGAGGAAGATGAAGTTGATGCGGCGCAGGCTATGCTCTCACTAAAGCATGGCCCACGAGTTTTGGGTTCCAAGACAGGTAATTGAAAAATTAACAATTCTCTTTGAAACTTCTTTGTCCCATTTCATTTTTTATTTAATTATTTATCTCTTTCTCTCTGCAGAGGATATTTACAAACGTCCTTATATCAGAAAAATGAACAGTCAAAGAACTAGGAAGGTATGTTTGCACTGTAGTTGGGTGAATAACCGTCTTGTGTAATTTGTTGATGAATATTTGTTTCATTCATTTTCTTTTTTTTTTCTTCTAGTCTTCCATTTCTGTACCTGTTATTACATCATCGCCCAGTGAAGACCATACTTATAGCGCAGGAGCCAGCTTGTCACCTGATGAAGCTTATGGTGAAGGCTCCGACACAGATGATGGGTGAGATAGATGTTAAATATTTTCCTCTGTTTATGATACAGCGAGTGTGGTGATAAACTTTTGATTTCATTCAATTCATTTCATCTTATCTCCTTCTTTTGATAGGACTGAAATCACTCCTGGTCATCCAAGTCTGCCAGATGAATCTGTCGCATCTGACTCAGAAGAACAAAGGCGTATTGCTGAAGGAGCTGCAGATGCTCTTTTAAACTTGGCAGGTTTCCGGCCTAAACACAATTTGTCGGTTGATTCTGGTCACAGTATCTCGCGGCCAACCCCGACCTCAGAGAAACCTTCTCCCCCCAAGAGAGCTCGCAGACAAAGGTAAGGGGCTAATAAAACATCATCTCGAGATTTCATTCCAAAAATTGCTGTATAATTATATTTGTGTGTCCTTTGGATTACAGGCAACAATCACATAATGGAGGTTCTGACTCATCAAGGCAACAACACCTACGATCCATCCGCAAGCAGGAAAAAATTGCTCTTGAACAAGAGCTTCTGGACCGTAAGAACATAATGAAAGCAGAAATATTAGCTGATTTAGCCGTAATTCGTAACAATAACAATATTGTGTTAGGTGAAGAGATGTCCAAAGCCACATCCGCACAAACCCGCCCTGTAAAATTAAAGCCCAAACGTCAAACTGGGTCTCACCGTAAAATGAACTTAGATATTAATCGGATGTCTACTGGAGACAATGCCTCTACCAGTAGCATTCAGTTGGATAAGAAGCTGAATCTTTCACATAAGCGTAAACATTGGTCTCATGACGGCAATGTAAGGAAAAGTCGTAGGTAGAAGATTGTGTGAATTAATTAAGAGACAATTATTGGTGTCAGCAAGGCCGTGGATTTATTGAATCCTGTTATCTAGTCATTCCTTTAAATTACTCTAGATGAAATTTAAAGATTAATTGGTTGTGACAAACATTGGTAAATTTTAAAGCTTCTTTTACCAAGCTGTTATTAGAATGTTATACATTCTCCCTTTTCTTCCTATTCTTCCTATTTGTTGTATGCTCAAGCACTTCCTTTAAAGATGTAACTTTGGCTGTATGTTCTGGCCAGGTGCGAGAGTACTATTTTAGGGCAGGAATCAATATCCCATAGAAATTATTGTGTCAAAGCGCTGTAGAGAAGTTTGGCTTAAACTGATGGTCAGGATTCTCCTGAACTTCTATTTACCCAAACATTGTTGGGTACATTCATTTTAGGATGACTATTCAACCTGTTTTTTTCAACTTGTTGAATACTTTTTGTTATGGATACTCTTTTGTTTTGTTTTTTAAATAAAAAAAAACTTACATTGTCTTCTAGTGACCAAAATTAAATCAAATTTATTATCAGTAGTGTTTTGCACTGAGGTATGTGCTATGTAAAGATTTGGTATCCTTCCAACATTTTTTTGCCAATGTCACTTGGTATCTTTCTTATGTTCTTCTCTGCTTTGACACAATATGGTGCGGCACTTCTTGCTGGTCATTGTCATTGCCTCTTCCCTCCCTTTTAGTGTTGTTACCCGGTATTTTTAGTACCGACTTACGTAGTTGTTTTGTTTGTATTAAGTTTTTATGTAGATTTAAGATTAAACAGCATGTAAAATGGTTCTGTTCCTAGTTCAACTTTTCCCCCTTTTTTTTCTTTAAATTTTGAATGGAACTGGTCATAATAATTTACATACCTTAGTATGTAACTGTTGATTTGTCATATTTTTTATTGTGTTGTTATGATATACTGGCTTTCTAATCATGAGTGTAAAGAAAATGCATTGCTGTGATGTTCATCTATTTTGAGCACTTTGTCTTATCATTTCTCCTGACTTTCTATACTAATGAAGGTAGAATTTGAAAACGAAAATCTGCTTCTCTTATTCTTTGCATACTTTTGGAGGGTTTTCTACCAGTCGCTATGTTGCGCATGTGAGATTAAATGCTGAATCCTCTTGGGCAACCTCTATGCACAAAGCATTGACATGGTGGTTTCTCTTTCCACTTTTGAAGATATTCTTAGCTAGTTTGAAAATGAAATATGATCACCATCTATTGGAGGTTCAGAACCATTACAGGATACTTGTTAAGGGAATAATATGAATGTAAAATGCAGCAATATCTTCTGTGTGATCTTCAATCTGTTAATTTATAACAGTTTTTTGTATCAATAATGTCATCCTACCATGTATCTTTCAGCAATAATAATTTTATCTTGACGATTTTTCTGCTTTGGATGGAAAAGAATGACTGGATGTGTGTATGCCAAAGATGTAATGCCTTTGTAAAGACCCTGCTCGTTTAAGATGCCCAGTACCTTAATAGTAACTTACAACTGTCTGGTAATTCCATATGTCTTGGCTTCCTTAGGCTCTTCCATTTTCATGTTATCATGTACCCTTATCATAAGTTTAATGTTTGGCACTCTTTAAAGTGATGAGCCTCGGTTGTTATTCTTTTCTGATCCCCACAGATTGGGTTGTCATTACAAATTTGTGGAGGTAAAATGAGTAAAGTATAAGTTTCGTCAAACAATTGTACTTGGTGGTTTCATGCCAATTAAAAGCAGCATGTTTAATATTTTTGTGCAGGTTGGTTATCAGCAATCTCTTGCAATTCTAATAAGGGACAATATGAAATGGTTTTCCTTCTTTGGATTGTTATGCTACGTTCCATTGTCAGTTGCCTTGAACGTCCTTGGTAAAGAAACTCCCTCATTTAAAGAGGAATGTGCCAATAATTCACATTGTGATCTTTTTACTATTAAATGACATTCTGACTATTGTAGAACCCCAGGACTTCGTTATTTCAAGTAATGGCTTGGCTTTTATATTAGATAAACACTATGTTAACCCTGTTAAAACAAAGTTAAATTCTACTGTTTTCTCAAAAATATTTTTCAAAATCAGTATTTTGTACTGCTTGTTATTATTGATTTTTTTTTTCTGCAAGTTAGTGCAAAGCAGTTTGACTGCTCAAGCATACATTATTCTTTTAGACAGGGTCTTGTTGCTAATGTTTGCATGTTGGTGTGCATGTTATTGTTTCTTTAATATTATTTTGCTGTGTTTATTAATACTTCAGTTTAATCATTCTTTAGTACCAGACTTTATTATTGTATTCTCTGAGTAGGACAAAGAGGTGCAGAGAACTTCCTTTTTTACAGACTGCTTCAGTTTAGTGTGCCTCTTTCGTGTATTTATTTACAGCATTGTACTTTCTTGTACTTTCTTGTAAGGGATGCTCATTCAATGGAACTTGCAGCTGGAATCAACTGTGGTGAGCTATTTGTCATGCTTCTGTGATTCAAATGTGCCAAGAGATATAAGCACTTCAATATGCAATAAAGTTTGTAGTGTCTTTAAGTTGCTTTCTGTTATTATTATCTGATATCCTTTTCGGCTGAATGATTTGTATGCTTTGCTTCTGATCCAGTTTTAGATTCATTGTTTTGTTCTTTTTAGTTCAGTGCATGTGGCAATGCTTTCCTACCCTGCTCATGTCACCTTCATTTATGAAATAGATCATGTAATTTCCAGAAATTAAGTGATAGTCATTAATCAAATCAGGAGTCAATTAAAGTTAGAAATATCTTTAAATAATGTAGCTGTATTTAAGTGGAATGTTCTGAACTTCCTAGAAAAAATCAGTCACTTATTTATGCAATCTTCTCTATATTCTTGATGCAATTTCTAGGTACAAAATTTTTGTAGTTGACCTGTATTATTAAGTATTGTTTCTGTTGTGAAAATTTTTTATCTTTCCAGTTTGGAAAGCTGTTTATATCTAGCCATCCCAGGCATATTGTTCGGTTGTTAAATAATTCAGAAGCTCTTTATATAGTTTTCAGTGAAACCACATTTACAAACTGTAGTACCATGGCCTGTCAACGTGATGGTGAAACTAACAGCTTAGTGACAACTTTTTCCCACTATAGCAACTGTTGTCAGAAAACTATTGTAATCATGGTTTCCTGATTTCCAGCTTTCTGGTCTTGCTCTTTAAACGTAGTGAATATATATCCATATGAAGGACTTTTTGCACTTTTGTACTAAAGCAGCACCTTGTCTTCCCTTAGTTAATTCTACAGTAATTACCTGTCTGAAACATCATTATGAATTAACCTGACCTGTGATTGTATGATCTTGAATTTATTTGTAAACCTTGCCTTTTCACGGAAGGAAGTAAACTTGGGTGCATTATGCTTCTTACATATGCATTGTTATTAAAGTTAAGTGTGGAGGTCAGGCACTCACTCATCCTCATGGCTGGAATATTTTAAGAGTAGTATTGGCTTCTAGCAATAACGAACATTTCATGTGATGTAAACTGAGCATAAATTTTAAAAGTGGTTTCATATGAAGATTCTAAATATTTTTAATGAAATGGCAAATGTAGTGAGTAATGTTGGTGATAGTTTTAAAGGCCCTCTTTTCTGTAACAGAAGAAATGCCTGTGGTTTGCTTGACAATGAAAACTACAATAAGATGTTGAAAGATCAAATTTGAAACAGTTTGCTAGCAGGTCTGCACTTTGTTTTAATGGTACTGCACCAAATGAAGCATTATGCTAGTTCAATCTATTTCAGTATAAGTCTTCCTGTTTGTTACTTCATTAATTCTGTAAGACATAATGATATTTTTAATTCTCAAAGAGTGAGTACATAGAAAACCAATTCTCTTTACATACAATGTATTAATGAGCAATACCTTTTTTCTCCTTTTAGCTTAAATTTGTGAAGGAGACTATATAACTTGTCCTTAGTCAAAGGCCACGACTCCTGTAATAGTGCCATTAAGCAAATTGCCACTAGCTTTTGTTCTTAATTTGTGGTTTTAGAAATGAAAGGTTTTAGAAGTTTTGGAGTCTGATTAATTTCTCCCCTTTATAGTGTGTTAAAGTACCATTTTTGTAGAGCTAGTGGAATTTATCAACTCTTATTTAAAAGAACAGCCGGTTCCATGATGAGCACTTACAACTTCATTGACCTTAGCTCCCTAACAAACTGTTGAGCCACATACTAGTGGTCTAAATTTCATAAATCCTTCTGTATGGTGCAGCGGGTGTCAATGCCAAAAAGATTTGTTGTGCCAATGTGTCAGTGACCACTGATGAATATGGCGTCATGCTATGTGAGAAAACCATGCAGGCTGTGTAACAGGTATGAAATACATGCCTTTATTAGAGCAATGTTATCTTTAATGTTGAAGGAGGTATGCTGAAGATAAACAGTTGTTTCTCCTCTGCAAAATGCAATAAATAAATGTACATTTAAAAGCATTCTTTCGTTCATTTTTCCATGGTCATTTCCAATAAGTGAATAGAGCTAAACATGCACAAATAACAGTGATATAACCAAAAGACAGGAGGAGAACCAATCCACGGGACGAGATAGTGTGGCAGTCATTGAATATTCTTATCAGTCAAATACGCATGTACAAAAATACAAATCTTCTAACCCTGCAGGTTTAAATTGCTCTATTTTGAAAAAATGTTATTGAACTGTGGCACATGGTCATATACAATAAGTACACAAATAGTGCCGAACAAAAATTAGCAAAGCAAACATTACATAATCTAAAGTAGTAATAAAAAAGGAGCTCTGGCACTCTACACTAAAGTACTTCTCAATGACATGAAAATGTAATTGAAGAGAAGTATAGAGAGTGCAAAACAAAACTGCACCCCAATGAGGCTTGAGAAACAAGTAAATGCATGTGAGAAATTATTACATAATACCATTTTAAAGAATAACATTAAAGATTATAAATAAATTCACAATGGCAAGCATTCACTCATTCATGAACATCAGACTATTTATTTTTGGGCCCACCATGAGAGAAGGGCGGGGGGCCCACCAATAGTCAAAATATCATTCCCTGAGATATCTTTGGTCTATGGTTTACAGTATGTGGCACTTGAATTCCCACTCTCTCCCCTTAAAGAATCAAAACAAAACTGTATACATAATAAAATATTTTATAAACTTCTAGCAAATCAGTGAACAGTTAACCTTTCCAGGGGCTACTCCAGAGATTATCTTACAATTTGATCACCTGGATGAGGGTTTGCAGAGTAAAAGGTTATATAAAAAGCTCCATAAAATGAAACATCATTTTTAACAATTTGATAGGTACTTGATCAATTAAGAACCACTTTTTTATGGCTAACTAAAGGAAAGGAACATATGACTTGCACAGCGCATAGCAGCATAACAGACTAAGAGAACGAATTAAATATGTAAAACAAATGACTAAGTTACACTCATAATTGGTTTGTAGTCAGATTAAAAATGTGTAAATTGATGACAGCTAGCTTGTCATCTCTCAAAAACACAAATAGAAGACTTAAGTTTGCCCCCAAGAAAGGGTAGTAAGAGTGAAACATGGAGGGTGATTGTTGACCACTACCACTACACTCTTCAGAATACTGTTGGCTTATTGATCAGTCAGGGAAAACCTCAGTGAGGTAGACGTGAACGTGGTCATATACAATGAGCATTATAGCACCACCTGGTCCTAATCTCATGACTTTGGGCAAAAGTCCCTTGTACAAAGCACGGAACCTGTAAAAAAAACAAAACAACCACTCAAAAATGATTTTATACTCCAGAAAAAAATTTAGGGTGGACACTCCTTATCTTACCCTTCTTGAGAGTACACCATGTGCAATGTTCGAAGTGTGCCATGATAGGTGACTACACCAGGGGTTGGTTGGGGTCCCTGAATACGACTCTTGGCAACATCAAATGGAATGTTGACACAAGATGCCAATGTTCCAGACACAAATCCCACACTGCAGTTCTTGAAAAATTCTTGCCAAGACCCCTGCAACAAATTATAGTGAGTAAGAAAATCATTCAACACAAGTTTTCATAGAAGGAGTCCATTCTAATGAGAGAAGGTACCTGGACTTGAGGAAATAAACCCTTAACACTATGGTAAAAACCAAAGTAAACCATATTGAAAACACCATTTCGTGCAATGGTTGCTGTAATTCCCTTATTCAAGCCTTTTAGGCCAAGACCCTGGAAAAGCATAAATTGTACATTGGTCAACCATGAGTAATATCTTCATCTTCCAGAACAAAATAAAACCTCGCATTATACCTGAGTACGAATTATCTCTCGTGTAACAGCCATCGTGGAAGGGGCTTGTGTTCTTTGAGCTTTATTCATTTGAAGTGTCACTTTAACAACTTCAAATGGATTAACCAGAATAGCTTCAGTTATGCCCGCAAATAATCCAGCTAGACAAAATGTCTGAAATATAAGACAGCAATATCATGTATCTAGCTTGGCCCGAAAAGCAGGAAAAGTTTACACCACTACAGTTAAAAACATACCACTGGAGTTGGAACAGGTGACCCAAAGAGGAAAAACTGTTTGTATTGCTCAAATGTGAAAAACTGGGGGGAAATACAGATAAGTGAAAGAAAGCTCATGCTAAAGCAAACATAAACAAGTAAAGATGCCAAAACAATGAGATAAATACCTTCACTGCCCTTTTAGGAGTCTCAGCCAAAATTGGAGGGACCACACCTTTCCAAAATGACAAAAGACCTTCTGATTGATACATTTTACGAAAGCAGTCTCCAATACCAGCATATAAATGCATTTCGGTGCGAGACACAACTTTCCCTGGAGGAAGACGTTGCATTTGCAGACGTGTCTTGATCAAATCCAGCGGATGCATGATGCAAACTTCGACAAAACCTGCGCACAGATGCACAAAATGGTGAAGGTTCGTTGTGACAAACAATCAAGATTCTTATAATTATACTTACCAGCTGAGCCTCCAGCTCCTATCTGCCGGGCAGCTTGCTTCAGATAGTTAGGTTTCTTTTTCTCCTCAGCCATTTTGTGAAAGTTTTCAGTCACAAATTAAGTGAGGGAATATGCTCTCCGACCAAAAGATTAGCTTGACATGCACTCCTGTAAACAAACAATAATTTAAAAAAATAAAAAAACAATGAGAAAGGGAACGAGGAAGTCAAAAGTAGATCCCTAGATTTGATAAAGATGATAAAGAAAATAAACAAAGCAAAACGTTGTATTCTTTTTATTGAAAAAATTAGGAGTGGGAGTGATGTTGATTTTTTGCCTTTCATCCACCAAAAAAACAAAAACAAAGTAACTTGAAGACCAAGTCAGTCACATTCTCACAGAAAAATTAAGTCCTCAGCACGTCGCATACCAGTGAGGTTCAGTCGATTCGCAAGCCCAGGAGAAAATGGGGAAAACAACACAAAAACCCCCTACCGTTCCTAACCTACACAACAAAGCCATAACATCCCCCCACCCACCCATAGCGGAGATGGTATTTATGTACAAAGCCTAAGCGACAAGGATAATCAAGTACATCTACTGACAGCGACGACCGGTGCAGCGCGGACCCAAATTCCAAATGTAAACAATGCGCTCTGCGGGACGCCGGTAGCAGAAGGAGTTTTGGAGCCGAGCCTATCAAGGTCAGGGCTACAAACCTCGCGCCGCCGCCCCACTGGCATTACGTCACGGCTAGGTGGCTCCCGTCCCCGCCACTGCCGCTCCCGCCGCGGAGCGGAGCGCGGACCGCGGACCGCGGTGGATAGACAACGGCAACGGCACTGCGACGAGAAGAGACGAGTCGAGTGCCGCAGCAGTAACAGCAACAGCTGTATCTCTAGCCGACGGAGCCCTTCTTTATCTGCTCGGCGACACGAAGCAGACGCGGCGCGCGGCGCAGCGCTCAGGGCATTCCACCGCACGGCGTCCCAGTCGTGCCAGTGTCTTCGTCTCCTTGATCCTCGACTCGGTGGAAGGCGGAAGCGACACTCCGCGGTTTTAAGGTTATCCCGGTCAGCAGCCATGTCGGACGCCAGGAGAAGGGTAAGGATGACGACGGTGAGGTTGGTTTACCTGACGGCGGCCTGGCCTGGCCTGGCCATGAATCGCCCAGCTGGTGAAGCCCCTCGCCGGGCACCGCGTCGTCGTCGCGTCCCCGTCGTCGCGTCGCGCTCGCTGTGCTTTCCGCTCCGCGCTCCGCCTCGGCGCCGCGCAGCCTCGCAGCCTCGCACTCGTCGCGAAGCGAATGCCGAATGTGGCCGAATGCAGCAGGATGTTTTTGTCAGCCGGTGATCCAGTTCACTGGCTGCGCGCCAGAGTGGCCAGGGGCGGGGCGGGGCGGGGCGGGGCGGGGCGGTGCGGCATGGCGGGCCGGCGCCTTATTTTGGCACTGCGCCTCGAACTTGGAACCCCCGCCCGCGACCCTTCGCCTTCCTTCCCTCCTTGTGAACTTTTAACGCGCGTCGCGCGAGGCGGACAGCCGCCGACAGGCCCGCCTAGGCTAGGTCGGCTAGGTCCTGCAGGGGGATGACGGGGCCGCGGAGCCGCGTGTCGAGATTAGAGCGGCCGCGTTCGGGAGGAATTGCACCACACTTCATGCAGTGTCAGCCCGAGCCGAAGTCGGCCTATTTCGGTCGGTTGCCGCGCCCAGGGCATTAAGTGGCCGGCCTGTCGTCGATATATCGACTATTGACCGCGCGGCGCCTCAAACAGTGGAGGTGCGCGGAGCGCGAAGCCAGAGTTGACCTCAAGCGGCGTGGCCCGAGAGTGCACTGTCATGCACGGTCAAGGCCCCGTCGGCCCGGCCGACAGTCAAGGCTGGTGTCCCCGCAGCCGCGGCTCGCCTCGCGCCTCGCCTCCTGCTCGCGGCCCCCTCGCGGCCCCGCCCTGCCCCGCCCCGCCCCGCGCCGCGTTCATCAATAGCTCTCATCCTCATCCGCCTTTTTGTCCGGGACGCGCTGCCGTCGTTAAAAACGCGCCTTTATTTTAGAGTGGCCATGCTGGCGATGATGTGTGCGTGTGTGGAGGGGGCGCTTTGCGTGAACTTCCCTTCCCTCTGGTTGCACACCTGTGCACGGGCACCAGCGCCGGGCGCGGCGCGCGCTGCTTCATCGCAGTGCTCGCGACCTTGCCGTGGGAGCGGCCGGCAGTGCCGGACAGTGCGGTTACGCCATCACGTCCCCGACGGCCCCCGACGGCCCCCGACGGCCCCCGACGGCCCCCGACCAGCCCAGCCCGGTCAAACGACGAGCCTTGAGTTAAAGTGGCGTGCTAACAAGTGGGCAGCCAGCGCAGCTAGAATAGCCGGGCCTGCGCGTCGCCAACGTCAGCTGACCGGCCACCTGTAAACAGCAGCACACTGATTCCGAGAGTCGTTTTCGTCGCGCTGTCTCTCTCCCACTCATGTGCCTCTCCTGTAGGTGCGAGAGAGACACGGCGACAAAAAATGCTCTCAGAATCAGTGTACAGCGTGCGCCGTCCGTCAGCCGCGGGCTGGAGAGGAGAGACTGCCTACGCCGCTGGAGGCTCCATATGCACGGCACCAGTGCACTGGCAATCACGCTGATCGTCTGCCGACTTTGGAAAAGGGTGGCGGGCATTGCGATGACTACCTCCCACCGCGGTCACCTGGGCTTTCCCTCTGGGGCGCCGGCGTTGACACCCGCGTTTCAACGACCTGCCGCGACAGCCGGCCACCGGCCAGGCCACCGGCCAGTGCTTGCGTCGCTCTGTCCCCCTCGCACTCACGGGGCACCCCGTAGGAATGCGAGTGGGACCGCGAGGAAAGCCGCGCTCGGAAGCAGCCTGCTATACGCGCTCCTTCTCCTTGTTAAGGCGCCGTTTATTTTGGTGCGGCCATGTCTGCCGGGTGGCCGCAAATCAGAGCAACGACCGCGCAGCGTCCGCGCAGCGTCCGCGAACCCGTACCGCGGCCTGCCAGCATGCTGCCAGTCTGCCACTGCCGTGCCGTGCCGGCGGAGAGGAGGAGGGGAGAGGAGGGCGGCGGCCTTGCGAGGGCGCTAAGCGAAGCGGGGGCGCCTTGGGGGGCGGTGGCGCTGGCTTGACCCGTGTGCGTTGGAAGTTTGGTCTTTTATCCCAAGGCGATCTTGAAAACAGGAGCGCGCCAAACTGTCAAACCACGGGTTCGCCGTGACGGTTCAGCGGCCGCCCGCCTTCTGCACCCTGTAGCGCCTGCGAGGCAGGCCACCGGCCCGTCCCGCAACACACCGGTGTGGAGACGGCGGCCTGCCTTGCCCCTCGCAGACGTCAGGGGCAGGGTAGGCCAGCGTCTCCACACCGGTGTGTTGCGGGACGGGCCGGTGGCCTGCCTCGCAGGCGCTACAAGTGCCGCGCGTTCCAAGCAAGAGCAAGCGGCGCTTTCGGGGAAACACGAGGGTCACAAACAGTGGCGTGACCCTCCACCAGCCTCCACCGACTCACCGAGGTCGCCGTCACGAGGGTGGCCCTTGGCCCCTTGGCCGCGTACTTTGTCGACTTTGTCGCCGTTCTTTAGTAGCGGCAGACGGCAGATAGCGTGTTTGCCCCTCGCAGCGCACACACTGCGGGCCTGGCTGTGGTGCCTGACTAGCTTTCCAGAGCGCGGGGCGCGGCCCAGGAGACGTACAGTGTGCCCCGTGTTTGCCGAGGGATGCCATGCCGCCACGCCGCATTACCGTATCGCGGCCTCCGCGACGCCATGCCAGCAGACTCATTCCGAGAGTCGTTTTCGTCGCTCTGTCTCTCTCGCACGCTTGCGGAACGTCTCATGGGTGAGAGAGAGGGACAGAGCGACGGAAACGACTCTCGGAGTCAGTCTGCATAGCAGGCCCTGCCGACGGCGACGCTGATAACGCGCGTACCGCCGTCGAGCCGGTTCGCCTTCCTGGTGGCTCGGGTGGCGGCGGCGACCTCGGCAGGGCAGGGGTTGGCCGGTGGGCCGTCCTCAAGGTGACCGAAGGCCGAACTACCAGTGCCAGGACACCAACGAGTCGCTCATTGAGCCAAGAGGGCGCCGCGCGCCAATCCCTCGCGTTCTGCTAAGCTGGAGGCAATTTCAGCCGGTTTACTTTTTCCGTGTCTTGACGCTTGGCGACTGTGGTCTTGAATAAGGCGTAGGATTAATCCAGGGCTTCGTCAGTTGGTTCGATGCATCGTGCCTGGCTAGCTTCCCTGGGTTTCCCTTTGGTTCCCTTCCCGCGGCGTTCGTGCCGGCAGGTCTCCCGCTTCCGCTACAGGGCAGGCAACCTACCGGTTCGGACGCTCGAAGGTAGCTGGCAACTTGAAGCACATCGCCACTTCTTAGACTGTCTGAAAACCGAAATTTACGGGTTTCATGGGGCATGGTTTAAGCCAGCAATATATCCACCCCGTTTGAACTTTCCCCTGGTACTTACCCTATTTTGGCCGTTGGTACCTCTGTCGACTGGTTTGTTTGTGCTTCTGGCGTTTCCGGATTCGTCCTTGTGACATTCAGTTCTGCTTAACCTTTTCAAAATGTGTACTTTTGCAGTTTATGGTCACTTTTGAACTGTACAGTTCTTGTTTTCTTGAAAAATGATAATTTACATGTTGTGTGAATCGCTAGAAATAAGAAGAATACGTTATCCTTTGTACTATTTAACTATTTCATGCTATTTGAAGGAGGTGTCATAGCATAAAAACTAAAGCAGATGACAAAAAGAAAAATGGTGCAGTACCAGAAGGTAAACAGTGGCCTGACAGTGTTGAACATGCTTACGTGTCAGTGACTTATTACCTGTCTTTATGTTGTCAATTGAATTTAATAATTGTAGTAATGGCTGATAATGGTTATTATAACCTCCTTCCTTATTTTCAACAACTGCTCATTGATGTTTTTATCTGCAATGTTTCTGTTTAAAGATTGCCATATCACCCTAATTTTTAATGTCTTTCATGTTGCAGCTGCCCACGTCGGATAAGTCGAGTCCAAGAAGAGGACAGACTTCAGGCCGCAGGGGAGGAAGTTCATCTGAAATGTCATCTCAGAAGAAGTGCATGATTGTCACTGGACTTCTTGTAGCAATCACATTTTTAGCTGGTGAGTAAAGATATATCACTAAACTCACTATTGATGAAGTGACGTATCTAACATCTGAAAATCACTGTTGCAGGATATACTTATAACATTATGCAGGAGCATGCGTATGCGATTGTAATTGATGCAGGCAGCACTGGAACTAGGCTAAATGCTTTCAATTTCAAAAAATCATTATTAAGTAAGTTCTATTTCATCTCTTCTATGTACTAAGACATCTCATTCATTACATGTTATCATTGAGCAATCATTCTTTACTTACAGCTGGAAGTTACGAGTTGACTAATGATCTATTTGTCGAAATCAAGCCTGGTCTCTCATCCTTTGCTGATGACCCCAAAAAGGTAACAGTTGGTAAAACATGTAAATCAGGGATTGAGATTTTGACTCACATTTCACCTCATCCATTTTTGTTTATTTTTTCCAGGGGGCTGATACTATTTTAGAACTCTTATCTCATTCCAAGTTGCAATTGGTTATTCCACCCTCAGAGTGGGCACTCACGCCATTGGCTCTGAAAGCTACTGCTGGACTCCGCCTTTTACCAGAGAAGCAAGCTCAGGCTCTTTTGGATGCAGTAAGCAATCTTCCCCTGTTCCCCTCACCACTTAGCATATGGTCAAATATTTAAAAAAACAAATAGCAATGTGACAATGTGACAAACTGTGTTTCCAGGTGAAGGCTGTGCTGGCAGACCTCCCTTTCTACACCAATGAAAACTCTGTGTCTATCATGGAGGGAGTGGATGAAGGAATTTTCTCCTGGTTTACCATTAACTTCCTTACAAGTACGCCTGCAACAAAAGTATTTCTCATCTGAATATGGGACCTTTAAACTAACTATCAATCGATTTCATTTACTGTTTCAGACAGCTTAAGTGGCAGTGTTAGAGATACAGCTGCTGCAATTGATATGGGAGGTGGCTCTACGCAGATCACATTTGCGGCTGAACCGACCTCTCCCCTTTGGCAGACCAGCCGTCAGTTCCTTCATCCAGTTACTGCATTCCACCAAAATTTAACGGTTTACACTCACAGCTACCTGGGTATGGGCTTAATGGCTGCTCGTATGGCCATTCTGTCAGTTGGAAATGCTGAAGGTTCCACTGTCTTAAAGAGTGCATGTATGCATCCCATAATAAAGAAGGAATGGACTTACAACAGGGTCACCTATACTGTACAGTAAGGAGGAAAAACTCTCATTACGATTTTACTGCTATATCACTTGTGTTCTTCTTCATTCAAACCATTATTTTCTTCTCAGGGGTTTGGATGATTCATCAGGCCGAGATCATATAAAGGAGTATGCTTGCCAAGATCTAGTGCGGTCCTACATCAAAGGCAAGGTTGACAAGCCAGAGGAGCTCAAGCATCATGCCAAAATTAATGCCATCTCTTACTTCTTTGACCGGGCAACAGAGTTTGGCATTATTGGTAAGCAAACAATATTTCTGTCAATCATATATGTGTTTTTAAGGATCTCTCATTAATTCCTTTTCATTGTTTCAGATCCGTTTGAAGGAGGGCGTGTTAAAGTTAAAGCATTCAAACAGGCGGCCTCCGAAAGTAAGTTGTTTATTTGGCCTTAAAATTTCTTTTGTAGGTGTTCTTATTAACATTCAGCTGTAGCTTCTATATATCGTTTTGATTTTTAATATTTTCCTTCTTTTAAAATTTTAGGTTGCCGTCAACCAAATGCTGACCAGCCCTTCATGTGCCTCGATATGCTCTTCATCCATTCTTTGTTGACTGATGATGGCTTTGGACTTACAGAGGATTCATCTATCGATGTAAGTAAAATTAGAAGTATAAATCACTTTTTTTTTGTATGCTGTAAATTAACAAATTTTTCTCCCATCTTGTTTCAGTTATACAAGAAAATAGACAACCATGAACTCAGTTGGGCTTTGGGTGCAGCTTTCCATATACTCCAAAATGGTGTTTAAATGCACTAAAAAACTGTTAATGGGATATTCTTGTCATTATGGATTCCTATGCTCACGAGTACGTGATTTTTTTTTTTTTTTTTTGAGTGTTTCTAGCTCACTGTAGCTGCACTGTAGTGTACTAATGACAAGGCTAAGCCCATACCCATTGATGATTTTGTTTTTCATTTACTGTTGGGCTGTGTGATCCTTCATATTGAAGGTGAGGTGTAGAAAATGTTAATGCACGAATCAAAAAGAAAGCATTGTATGGCATGTGCGATGGTATGCACATTCTAGTACTTGTTTGTGTAGAATTACAGGGTGGTCGATTGAAATGTACAATTTTCTTACAAAGTATTTTTCATACTGGCATATTTTATCTGACAAGATTGTTTGTAAAATGGAATTGGTGTCTTAAAAGTCTCTTTTCACTACTGTGTGTGCACTGACTTTATGCTATGTTACTAAAGTTGACTGTTGATTTTTTAACTCATCAATCATATGATGATGTGTTTTTTATCTTAGGAAAATGTTGATGTGATTTTTCAATGGGATAGATTTTACCAAATGTTGATCAAGTATTTATGAAAAAATAATGCATCTTTCCTTTTAAGCCCAAAAACCCATGTTTTTTCATGTTAGATGCAGTAACAGTATTGATTCATTCATTTTTTTTATTATTATAGGTGGTCCATGTTACTTTTTGAATGAATGTTAAGTCTGTTTTTGTTGCTTGTGTGATAAATTACACAGGGAAGGTACTTTACTTTGGTTGTTTCATCTGTGATTAATGGGCAATTGTGTGTTCTAGTGTAAGAATCTTTTTTTCTTTCCTTTTTACTTTTGTAGTACTCAGTTTTCACATCTCCAGGTTCTTTTAAACAAGCAACTTTTTTAAAATATAGAAATAGCTTCTGATCTCGTCCTTAGCACAAGTCTTCACTTGTGAATTGAAGACTTCCCATCAGTGGAATAGTTATTACTCCCCTTAAAGTTTTGTTTTTGAATTTCATGTTTACTACTTTCGTGTTACTACAAACGTGTTTCCTATGTTTCTGGGGGCCTTGTACAAATAAATTATTATAAAATGGTCTGACTGAAATTACACATCGATTGCCTTTTCTTTGGCAAAACAAAGATAGATAGAAAAATAAATGGTTTATTTTTCAAAAAGTGTGTCATATTTTTTTTCCCTCTTTCTCATTCAGACTAGTCTTATGATCGCATAGATAGAGATGAAGGAAGGCGAGAGCGAGTGAGGGAGAGAGAGTGTGTACAGACGAACACAGAGGTCCGACCGAAATCCCTTCTTGAGTTCCGGTTCGGGAGCGGAAGGTACAGCGCGGAACGGTCGCGGGGGTGCGGGGTACTGGCGGGGCTGGGGCCGACGCCGAGGGCCGGCGCCCCATAGCTACTCATGGCACCTCACGCCGCACCGCCGCTCCGCTCAAATCTCGCTAGCTGCCTACTATCTACACGTCAAAAGTGATTAGAAAGAGCGAGCCCTTATCTCGGTACTCCCACGAACCACGAATTGAGAGGCAAGGACACCACTCTCCAATCTGGCGGCCCGCACCCTGGCCCTCAAGGCCTAGCCTCCTTGCGTCTGGTGCACCAATACCCTTGCGGCTCCAATGCTTTTCCCACTGCACACACCTTCACTCTCACAGAGACAGCCACGCCACGCCCCTGCCCCGCACAATGCAGCGACGCAGCAATGCAAGCCAGTGCTTTCCTTGCCTCCTCGGCTGGGGTCGCCTGTCGCACTTCCCCCCATTTCTCCGAGGAAAAGCCCGAAGCCATTGTCCCGCGAGGTGTCCACGCCCAAACAGCCCGTGCAGGCCCTGCAGGCCCCGCCGCTGGAGCGAGTGACGGCAAGCCGGGGCTAGGCTGTGCCCCGTCGTGCGAGTTGGACCGTACCGCGACGCACCGCGACGCACCGCGCCGTCGAGCCCTGCGAGGCTCTGCCCTGCAGACTGATTCCGAGAGTCCTTTTCGTCTCTGTCTCTCTCGCACGTACACGGGGCGCCCCATGAGTGCGAGGCAGGCAGAGCGACGAAAACGACTCTCGGAATCAGTCTGCAGTGGCGGCGACATGCCGGCGGCCCTTCCGCAGCCTTTCCACGGTCAGTGAACATGCACCTCCATGGTCCAGGTCCTTCCGGCCGCGTCGCCGAGTCGCCGACTCGTCAGTCGCGTCCCCAGAGTGTGGCGTGCGCACACCGAGCCCACGACGTCGTGGCGGCACGCGCGTGTGGAGCACCGCGTCGTCGGCAACCTGGAACCTAGCGCTGGGCGCCTAGCGGTGGCAGTGGCGACTTCCCGGCCCGCGGGCCGCCCCCGTCGACAAGGAACGCGTCATGTAGCCCGCCAGAGGAAGGGTAAGCCAGGCAGTGTCTGCATGAGGTGGTCTTGTCGTCGTTGTCATCGTCATTCGGAATCACCCCTCCCCGCCTACCTCCGCGGCGGCTGTCTCCTCTACCTCCTCGAGTGAACGAACGACACCAGCTCGGCTTGGTGACACGCTGTATTTCGGTCAGGTTTCGCGTCCCCGTGTGGGGGAGCGGCTCACTAGCGTCACGACGCGCACCCAGGACACGTCAGCCTGGTCGTGCTGGTGGTGCTGCTGGTGGTGTTCCTGGTGGTGGTCCTGGAGGTAGTGGTGCTGCTGCTGTGAGTGGTGCTGCTGGTGTCGGCGGTAGTGGTGGTTCTGGTGTCGGTGGTAGTCGTGCTCCGCTTGGTGCTCGTCGTGGTGGTGCTGGCCGTGCTGACCGAGCGCCGCGGCCCTGGCCTCTCTCCGGGCCTGGCGGCGCGCCTCGCGGCGGGCTTCCCTGCGCGCCTCCCTGCGACGGCGTCGTCGCTGCGCGCGTCGCCACAGCTGCAGCGAGCTGCGTCTCGGATGCACCCACAGCCGGCACAGCGGGCACATGCGGCGGTAGCCGCTCAGCCAGGCGCCGATGCAGTTGTCGTGGAAGGCTGCGCAGCACAGTGCAAACACCCTGACACCCTGCGGGTGGGCAACCCAACGGCCAAAGCACGCGCCAGGCGCGCCGCGCGTGTAGGCAACCCAACGGGCACGCACCGTGCTTGCAGGGCAGGACGCTCACTGGCTCGCCGGGGCAGAAGTGGTCCAGGCAGATGGTGCACATGTCGTAGCGGTCCCCATGCTTGAATCGGGTCACCGCCGGCCGTCCTGGACGCCGCTCCGCCGCCCCCGTCTCCGAGTCCGTGGCCGTGCCTAGGTCTGGCTCGGGGTCCGTCTCCGGGTGGTCCATAGCCCTGCGGATGGCGTCTTCGGCGCGCCGGCCCCGCCGTCAGCGGACGGGGTCAGCCCGCAGCCCTCGCGGACGCGACCTTGGAGGAGGAGCGGTTCACCATGGGGGGCAGCAGGGGGCGGTCTGCGAGGCCATGGCGGCCGGCGGGGCGATGGGGCGAAGCGAGCACGGCGACGATGGGGGCCGCAGCCACGCAGCCACGCACATGCGTTGCCAGGACTAGAGTCCGGGACGGGACGGCCGCGGGGCGCCATTATTGTCCGGGGCGAGAATGGTTGCCTAAGCACAAAGGGGCCGTCAACAAATTCAGAGAATGAGACCACTGCAGAGGACAGTGCCAAGTTTAGTCGGAGGCTCAGACTCGTTGTTCGTGCGACAGGGCCTGCACCATGACCATCTCCTCCATCCTGGGCTTCCGGGGCGCAACCACCACCGCGGCGCCGTCCTCCACGCTGGGGCTGCGGCCGCACTTCCACAACGCGCAGCACCGCGGCGACATCTGGATCCACTCGGGGGACGGGTGAGCTCCACTACGAGGCGGGGCGGCTGCGACCAAGCGCACCGCCAATCAATGTGTGTGTGTGTGTGCAGGTGGAAAGGCGGCAAGAAAGGTGACGGCGCCGCGCTCTCCGCGCTCACGCTCCTGGCGTTCCTGTTCTTCCTCAACATCCTGCAGGTAAGAAGAAAAGGACCTGCGTTGGGGCGCGTGCGGGTGTGTTTGAGGCTTCAGGCCGAACGAGTTGCACATTCCTCCATCTTCCTTTCCCAGAGCTGCATGCAGGACATGAACGCGGCCCAGCCCACCGTCGTGGTGGCCAACAGCGCCCGCCGCGAGGAGGTGCCCACCATGGTGGCCGTGCCGATGGCCACCCCGATGCCCATGCCCATGCCCATGCCGATGCCCATGCCCATGCCGCCGATGCAGGCGCCCGCGCGGGCCAAGCGCCACGCGGACGCCGAGGACGCCAAGCAGGCCGAGGAGCAGGCGCGGCACCGGCTGCGGGTGCAGCAGCAGAAGCAGCAGCAGCGTCGGCGGGAGCAGCAGCGCGACTCGGCGCGGCAGAGGCAGAGCGACGCCGGCTGGGAGATGGTCTCCGTGGTGAGGCCGACGCAGCGACGCCGCCCGGCCCACGGCAGCCAGGGCCACGGCGCCAGCAACAAGCTGACCCTCGTGGAGGTGGGCCTGTCGCAGAGTCCGAGGTGGACGAGCACGGCGCAGCCTTTGACGGCCACCCGGCAGGGCGAGCAGGACGAGCTGGACGAGGCGGTGGACGAGGCTGCCGAGGAGCGCGTCGTGTCCATCACGCCGTCCCCCGTCAACAGGGCCGGCCAGGGCGCCGACGGCGTGGCCATGGTCAGGGTGAGTGCGTGGTGGGATGCGATAGCGACCAGACCTGAGTCAGACGTTGAATGACCAACGTGCCCAACCATGTTCCGAAGGTGAGCTCCAGTAGCCTGGGCGACGGCGAGGACGACGCCAGCGTGAGCTCGGGGGACTCGTCCACGGGGTCGGCGTCCGCGTCGTCCGGCCCGGCCGCCAACAAGCAGGAGGAGTACGAGCTGAGCGGCGGCGCGGCGACGACGGAGCGCATCGAGACGGCCACGGTGCCGATGGCGATCCCCGTGGCGATGCTGCCGTTGCGACCGCCCGGCACCGTGGTGCGCTTCGTGCCGCTGGCGTCCACGCCACTGGCGTCCACCGTGAGGGGCGTCTTCAGCATGCTGGCCGCGCCGCTGCTGCGCATGGTGCAGCCCGGGCCCGGCGCCGCCCTGGCGCAAGGCCTCGGCGCGGCCCTGAGCTCGGGGCTGGGCCAGGGCCTTCGGGAGGGGCTGCGCGCCGCCGTCTGCTGCGACCTGGTGGTGTGCGAGGCGCACCGCCTCGGCACCATCGGCGGCGCCATCGGCGAGAGGGTCGCCACCACCGTCAGGTAAGGAAGACGAACTCTCGCTGCACCCTTGCTGTACCTTGCCTTTCTCACCCTCTCTGCCTCCGCCCCGCAGCTCCGTGGTGAGGTGGGCGTGCGGCGAGGCCCAGGACGGCGAGCTGACGAAGGCGGCCGCCCAGGGCCGCAGCGACGGCGACGAGGGCTGCCGCCGTCACATCGAGCAGTGCGAGCGGCGCGCCGGCCGACGCACCGCCGTGTCCACGCTGGCCGCCTTGGTGGAGGCCTACATCACCCGCAGGGCGTGACCTAGCGACCCGGCCGCCACGCCTGCAGACTCATGCTGAGAGTCGTTTACGTCGCTCTGTCTCTCTCGCTCTCAAGGGGCGTTCTGTATATGTGCGCGAGAGAGACAGAAAATGCCCGGGGGGCACATTCTCTCTCGCTCGGAGTCTTCCAGTGGTGCAGCACGTCCGGGTCTCATTGCAAACGAAAGGCCCATCCACATGTAGACGAGACGGCGTCGATTCGACGTCGAAAAGTGACAGGACTATTTCCTCTGACGTTGACTTGACATCGAGTCGACGCCTTAATTTAAATATCTCATTGTAAGGAGCAGAACTTTTTCCCGAATTTTCTGCGGGTATTATTTATTTATTATTTATTTAATTTAAGTTTAACTATTTATGTGTGACTCTATTGTACTGGTGTATTTTATATGCTTTGAATTATTTTCGTGCGCTTGGACTGCCGTATCTGAAGTTTATGCCGCTCTCCTAGAAACACTTCCCAATGTGTGATGTGCAATTAACAATTAAACTTGTTTTTCGCCACTGACCCCTGTGCTTTTCTCCAGCCCGGTTCCCTAGGCGCTGGCCGGCAGGGCTTTGGTCCTTTTACCCGCCGCGCCGCGCGCTGCTGGCGGAGCGGCGTGGAGGCCGTGGTGTGTGGTGGTGGGGCCATGTGTTCAGTATCGAACCGCATCTTCAAATAAAATGAGGCTGCTCGTGGGCCGATGGCCTCTGAAAGCCTCTTTGACGCGTCCCGAAAGCCCGAAAGGCCGGCCCCTTCTTCTAATGTTGTGTAAACTGTGAACGGACTTTGATTTGGTCCGCCAGGGTCCGGCAGCCTCCACGGCCTCCACGGCCTCCACGGCCTCCACGGCCTCCACGGCCTCCACGGCCTCCACGGCCTCCACGGCCTCCACGGCCTCCGCGGCGCCACTCCCACCAAAACAAACGTGTCGGCTGATGTACTGCACCCTTGCCTGCGCTGCCGAAGCCGACCGGCCATCGCCCGGCTGCTAATGCTGGCTAATGCCACAGGCCTAGCCAAGCCAGCCAGGGCCCCGCCCCGCCCCGCCGCAGCCGTGCCGATTACGTTTTATGCCCTGCTTACCGCCCCAGCCACCTCTCTGTCAGTCTACAAGTATTACGGCCCCGCCAGCAGTTTGCAACAGTGGGAAAAAGGAAGCAAGCTATTTGGTTGGAGTTAAAAGAAAGGGGAAGGGGGGAAAATTAGCAACTTGGTAATTTTTTCAAAGTTTTTATTCGTTGAGAGACAAAGTTGGCGTTGACAGTTCAACAGAAAAAAAATACAAATGATTGTATTCACAAAGTTTTCAGAAACGAAAAGAAAAACCGGAATGTTTTACGAAGTATTAATACTGATGAAACATTAAAAAACAAATAGAACATTGAACCCATTTTTTTTTCAGTTCTGTTATTAGTTTTGGCGAGAATGAGACACGAGGTAATTAGAACCTCGTGCAAAACAGAAAATAAATAAACAGTCACATCTACAATCACCACTACAAATAAATAAATAAACTATTTATAAACATTCATTCACACACAGGGACACTTCACGTCGCTCACTCAAAGCGTCTGAAGATGAAATCATATTTTGGTTGAAACATACGACAAGCGTTCGGACAGCAGCACCAAGCAGCACGCCCCTTCGCTTCATTAAAATATCAGTCAGACTCCGATTGAACCCTGGGGCCCCCGCGTCGCGCCTCCCTGGACGCCCCCGGGTTCCACAAATAAAAATCTATACAAGTATCAACAACACAGGACAAGAATAAAGCTAAGTCTTAACGCTAGCTTAACCGCTACGGATGACCGTGGTCGGAGCACGGGGCCTTGCGCGGCCCGGTCCGACGGCCGCCTCCAGCGTGGGGCCTGGGGCAGCCTGGAGCCGCGCCGGCTCGGCCCGCGTGCCCTGCCTGCCCTGTGAGCGCCGCGCCGCTGCAGTGCATTGCAGTGTACCGCAGGGAGAGCGCCCGCAGTGCCAGACAGGGATGGCTCGCGCGCCTCTGCCCTGAGAGCGCTCTATCTACACCCCCCGGACCAGCGGGGGCGCGCAAGGGAACCTCAGACTCCACAACGCGGAGCCGAGCCGCGGGGCCGAAGGGAAATTTGGAATTTGAACCGAAACGCGGTCTTGCTCCGAATGTTTGCAGACGGCCTGTGGAGGCTGCCGCCCCCCTGCGCGTTCGCCCCTCGCCTCGGTGCCGCTTCAGCATTTTGTGCAATGCGCTCGCGTCGGCTATTGGTCTCGCCAAATAAATAAAGGTAAAATAAATAGAGACGGGCGGAGCGCGCCGCGTTCCTCTGGCGAGGCAGCGCGGCCCGCCACCTGGACGGAGAGGATAGGGCCTGGGAGTGGCCCCGTTCCAGTTAGCTTCCTGCAGTCACACACCCAAAGCACCGCGAAGAAGGCCCGCGAGGGGACAGCGAAGGACACAAAGCTCTGGGTGCAAGGGGAAGGGAGGTGCTCGCGTTACATCGCGGCCCTCCGTCTTGTTCTCGGAGAGGGTTCGCACCCTCGTCCTCGTCGGTGGTGAGCACGAAGACGCCGTCCTCTTGAAACGGGCTTGTGACCGGGCGGCCGACTTGCTTTTTCGTCGCCGCTATTTTGGCCGGCGCCACACTGTTTTCCAAATAAATAATAAATAAATTGATTACAAAGTCCGTTTGGTTCGCGTCGCGGGGGCCTAGACTTCGTTGCACTGCAGGTACAGCTGCTGGCAGTCCGCCTGGCTCCTGCCGCGGCGGCCCGCCTCGTAGTACATGTCGAAGGGCGTGGCGGTGGACCTCTGCAGGAAGAAGCTGGCGGCGTACCTGGAGAAGCACAAGCACCGTCGTCAGTGTCGGGCCGTACCGGCAGACGCGCCGCGGTAAAATTTAAACGGCACGGTAAAAACAAAAAGAAGGGGGAAAAGACAAAGCGAAAGACTCACGATCCCAGCTGGCAGTAGATGGCGCTGGAGCCCTGCTGGTCGGCGGAGCACTCCCTGTTGGCCTCGCAGAGGAACTTCTGCATGCAGTTGTCGTCGCTGGTCTTGAAGGTCCTGACGTAGCCCTGCGGGAGCCAAGAGAGAGAGAGCGGTGAGCGAGTGAGAGGGGCGAGGGGCGCGGCGTTCAAGTGGGCGCGCGTCGCGTCGCAGCGCGTCGCAGCGCGAGGGGGAGAGCGCCTGGCGGCTGGGCCAGCCCGCCACGCACGGCCGTGGCGCGGTGCTGCCTACCCTGGAGTTCGCAGGCGGCGTGCCATTGCTGCGGCGCACAGTGGGCCAGTGGAGGCGGTCAAAATCCCGAACGCGTTTTGAGTTCCAGAGTCGCTCAATGGGACTCGAGCCGAACGTGTGACCCCACCAATGGATTGCTCTGCGAGTGAGGAATCCATTGGTGGGGGTCACACGTTCGGTTCGAGTCCTCTTTAGTGACTCTGGGAATCAAATCGCGTCTAGAGTTTTGGCCGCCGGCTGGCCCACTGTGCGGTGGCGGCTAGGCCGGGCTAGGCCGGGCTAGGCCGGGTTTGGCTCCTACACTGCACACACGCGACGCGCGCCCGGCCGCGCGTTCTCATACTTTCTTTCTTTCGCGCTCCACGGCGGTTGGCGCCGTTTGCCGTTTCTCTCCGCGGTCGGCTTTCTTTTACGGCGGACAATAAAAGTAAACAAAAGGAAGAACGCGATGCTCGCCATGCCCACCTTGAGCACGCTGATGCCGGCCACGGCGGCCTCGGAGACGGAGTCCTTCTTGCCGAGGGATCGGGCGGCGATGGAGCGGTGGCTGAAGGAGGTCTTGAGGGCGTCCAGGAGGTTGACGACGATGTTGATGAACTGCAAGCGGAGGAGGGCCTCGGTCAGTCAGGGAATCAGTCCGAACAATGAGCGATGCCAGACGGGGGCACAATTTTTTTCTTTTCTTCCAAAAATGACTGTTTTTCCGTTTCTCCACTCCGGAGAAAGGTGCTGGATTGAGTCCCGCCTGGCAGCGGCGAGGGTTAGCTACCGTACCGGCACCCGGCCCCAGCATGCGGGCCCCGCTAAGCATGCTACTCAAGCAGGTGCACTGGCGCGGCGTGGAGCACTAGTGGCACTAGTGGGTGCGGACGGCGTGCACAAACAGAAACACGTTCGGCCCGCGTCGCGGTCGTTAGGTTCCAACAATTTAAAAAATTAACACAAATAATTTTTTTTAAGTTTTTGTTTTGCACAAGTTTGGCAAAAATTGAGATCGAAAAAAAAAAACCCGCGGGTAACTCGTCTCAAGCCCGAAATTTGGATTCTGAGCGTAGTGTGACGACGGTTCGAAGTGTTCCAAGCACTTACCTCTCCGGCCTGCTTAGCCATGGTGGCCACCTGGTCGGGATCCTTAGATCCCAGCACGGTAGAAAGCACAGCGGCGATGATACCCTGCGTGCACGGCGGTACCAACACAACCATCAGAACCAAGCCGACCAAGCGGATCGGTGGAAACGCTCTGGGCGAAGTCTCGGTAGGCAGCATCATGGCGTCGATATATCGCGGCACCCATCGGTGCATCGACTTCCAAGTTAAAAATAACGTACTAGCCGCCTTGCTGTTGGACATGCATGCGCTACGGAATGAATTTGTACAATAAAGCAGTGTGGCCAACACGGCGAACGCCTAGCATTCTACAGAGCCATGCAGTGATGCAGAGTGCAGTTTCGTGCCAGACAATATATCGACTCCCTTCAACCGAAACTTCGCCCAGGCCCGTGCCCTTCAAAAGTGAAACCCAGCAGTGAGTTATTCGCGCTAACAAAATGTCACGGTATGGGATTTGAAATGTGGCAGTCTTTTGAAAAACGCGCTTCCGCGGAGCGAGACAGCGGCGGAAACAGAAAGAAGCCTCGATCGGCTCGCCGCTGTCTTGGTTTTGTTTTTTGCCGACTAATTTAGAAAAGCGCCTCTGACTCTGCCTCCGAACGGAACCAGGCCACGCCGAGCCGGGCCGAGCCGAGCGGACGCCTCGGAGGTCTTGGACCGCGACGTTTTGGAGCGTGTCGCGTGACATGGATGCGAGGCGTGGCTCGGCGTGCCCTGGGTGCGTGCGTGCGTGCGTGCGCTGCCCCCGTTCTCCAAACACGCTCCGCGCTCCGGGGCCTGATCCTCCAACGCCCTCGGACCCCGGACGCCCCGTGGCAATGGAAACAGGGTCGGACAGGCAAGGGAAGAATACGTTAATTTTTTGGGGCCAATAAAGTAAAGGCTTTTTTCTGATAATTTTTTAAGAAAAGTGGTGGAGAGACTGCGCGCACGGGATCGGACACGCCGCGCTCTCCGCCCTAGTCTGCCCATCGTCAATTCGATCAGGAAGCATCAACAAGTCACCAACCAGTCTCGGTTAGTCACTCTAATATATACAAACTAAGGAAGCGTCCGCAAACCAGGCGGCCAGTGTAGGCGGCCCGCGTGGTTTGCGACCGCCCTGGCTGGGACGGCGAGGATGTCTCGGGCCCGCGCAGCGCAGCGAGTCGCCACCACAAGCGTTAGTTTTCTTTCACGACGTCTCGCGGGTTAATTTGTCCGCGAGGTGCCAACGCCACCCGTCGAGCGATGCAGCAGAGTCGTTTCGTCGCTCTGTCTCTGTCGCACTCGTGGAGCTCTCCATGAGTGCGAGAGAGACACAGCGACGAACCGCCGTTCTGAATCGCGCGGCAGCGCCGCGTCAACTCGCGATGGTGCGGAACTGAAGAGCATCGCAGAGTTCAGGGAGCCACGCCTGCCAACCGGCGAGCATTGCCCAGTGCGGTCGCCAACAGTGGGCCTCCCCGAATCTGGAACGTCTCGAGTCCTCTCCCGTGTCATCGGCGCGCGTGCGGGCAGCCGGTTTGCCGGCGTCACTGACCTGCATGGGGGAGGAGTTGTCGACCTTGTCGATGCCGTCACCGGCAGCGGCGCCGCCGCCCAGGAAGTGCGAGAGGATCTTGAGTCCGACCTGGAGGACCTGGGCCCAGGGGGAGGCGGGCGCCATGGACTGCTGCGGGAAGAAAGAGGACCATCTCAGCTCCGAAAACGCCGCCAGCCCTTGCGCCAGCCGCCTGGCGGGCCGGCCAAACTCGTCACGGGGAGGCAAGGCAATGAATGGCTGGAGAGCGCAATTGGATTGGTTAGTCAGAAAGCACTGAGATGAGCGGCGGTCGGTTAGTCGCTTTTCCCTTCACCGAATCGGAACATGCACTTGGAGGTAGAGGGAGGCGAGGCGAGGCAAGGCGAGGGTCAGGAACAAAGCAGGGCAGGACCGCCGCGTCGTCCGCATCGTCACGTCCCGGGTCTGGACTGTCTGGACTGTCTGGACTCTGGAGAAGGTCAAGTGAAAAAGGTCTCGTCGCACAGTTATCCTTTCCGCTTTCCGTTCTCTGCATTGCTTTGCATCTTGAATATCGGTTCGGACGGAAACAACTCGCAAACGCTCCCCTGTACCAACTTAACTGCAGTCCCGGCTAAGGTACTCGACCAACGTTCCTCCCGGGAGCTTTATTGCAGTCCTGCTGTCCAAAGCCTGAAGTCGGCCGTGCTTCCTCTCGGCATTCGTAGAATCGCCCTTGAGACCTTCGAATCAGTCAGTCAAACCTCAAAAACCCAAACCGTTCTAGGTTCAGCGGCGGACCGAAACTACGAACCCGGCGGGGCTGAAATCCCCTGATTAGAGCCACCGAAGAGCTCCACCCGCGCCCAGTAGAGAAACCGAGAGGAGGACTGTCGCCAGAAAAAAGAGGGACAGCTAGCTCAGGCCGGCCTGCTTGAAGAGAGCCTGTCTCTGTCTCGGCGGCGGCGGCGCCGTGGCGACTTGGTTGTCGCTGCCCGTCGGCCTGTCGGCCTGCCGCTGTCGGCCTGTCGGCGCGTCGAGCAGATCCGCGGCGAGGTGCCCCCGTTGCTTTGCTGGCCAACCGAACGAACCGAACCGACAGAAGGCGGAGTGCTCAAGTTGAAGCGGATTGGGTCTTACTGAAAGTGCATAGTCTGAAGAGTCGTGAGTTTTAGAGGGCGGTGGAGGTGGAGGTGTGGTGGTTGTGGTTGGACGTACATCGTCATCCAGACCCTCGGACTTGCTGGGGCCGGCCTGGGCGCCGCCGTTGAACAACATCTGCATGATCATGCTGAGCATGCTGCCCCAGGAGAAGCCGTCCTGCTGCAAGGAGGAAAAGGAATGTCGTTAGAGGGGTGTTGTCCACGAATACGGTGCTTTTGAAACCCTCGTTGCCGACCAAACTCACCGAGATCTGGTTGGTCTGGATGTCGTCCAGATCGTTGTCGATGGGCACCTTCTTCATGGCGTTGGGCTTCTCGGCGTACTTGCGGGCCTCGGCGTGGGGCTGCTGCTGCTGGCCGGGGTGCTGGTACACTGGGTACTGTCGGTGCTGCAGCTGCTGTGGCGGCGGCACCTGGTGCGGGAGCGCCAGGACGGGCAGCACCGCGGAGCAGCCCACCAAGACCACGAGGGCCCACCCTATCACCTGACTCTGCTGCATCCTGCCAACGACACAAGCAACGCACTGGATTAAACGGCAGTCAAAGAGTCAAACAAGGGGGCTGTGTGGGGGGTTCTTCTACGACCCTCGCGTGAAGCAGCCCGCTGACGCAACCACACAATCGCTCACAGAGTCGCAGACTCGTCGCAGACGGACAAACGCAGGATGTCTCGGACACGCGTGGCGACGCGGCGACGCGGCGACGCGGCCGCCACGAACGGGGACATCCGCGGCCTCAGCCTCGCGGCATCCTCCATCCGCCCGGTCTACTTGGCCGCGGCCGCGTCGGTGCGCGTGCTGTGGCAAGCCTGCGCAAGCGCCGACAAGACGACCGGGAAGCTTACACGACTCTCGACACACTAGTCTCTCTCCCCATTCGCGGAGAATAAAATTGCACAAGAAGGGCGGTGACTTTGTGCCAGCAAGAGTACTACAATGGCTGCTTCAGACTTTGGGGCGGAACAGAATCGTCGTCGGAGGAATCCCCAGCCCTCGCACTGCATGGCCCCGCGGCCGGCACTCCGACACCCCGGCTCCGCAGTGCCAAGTTCACCGTAAATGTGAAAGCCTGCGCGGCGATGTCGCGGCGCCTCTCTGGCCGCCATCGGGACAGGGCTGTGTGTGGCTAGGCGCCGCGCCGATCCGGGAAAGGGCGGCAGGGCGCCAGTGCCCGCTACTGCCATGCCGATAGTGTTTTGTCCGCCCGTGAGTGTTAGACGGCGCGAGCAGTGCAAGGTGCAAGGGGGACGGAGCGGCGCAAGCTCTGTTCGGCCTAAGAGTGGCCCCGCGGGCGCCCTCGCCGTCGCCGTCGCGTCCGACATGTGACGCGTGCGTCTGTTACGTGGCAGAGGCCCGGCGGTTGCCGTGACGTCACGCGTGACCCACGCGCGTCTCCACGCTGCATCCGGCTTGTAGAAAGTCAAGTCCCGGGGCGCACGTCGGCGACGTCGGCGCCCCGCCCCGCCCCTCCCCATCGGGCCATCGGGCCTCCACCTCACCGGCCGTCGCGCGTCGCGCCCTTGCAGTGGAGTCTCCTCGTGACAGCCGCGCCGCTCAGGACGTTTTTGTCTCCCTGAACGACGATCCGAAACTTTCGGCCGGCTTCCCAGAAACGCTGCGTCGCGGCGAGGCAGGGCAGGGCAGGGTGGGGTTCTCGAGTACGTGTGCACGGCAGGCACGGCAGGCACGGCACGGCTGACATGACGCCGGCCGGATCCATTTTCTCCGAATAAAAGGGCGCCGCCTGGACGCTGGATTCGCTGGATTCCGACCAGTGCCGTCGGAGTTCTCTCTCGCTCTCATGGGGCGCTGCATTGGGGTGCGAGCGAGAGAACCAGAGCGACGGAGCACTGTTCGGAATGCACCTGCTGGCCGGCCCGGCTCTGATACAATCGGACATGTACTTTTTTCATCGCCCTCCCACGCCCCGGCCTGCCGAGGCCTGCCTAGCCTCTACAGTGCCTCAGGGAGGGACCTCGCGGCGCGGTTCCGTTCCCACACGGACGGTGGCGCGGTGGCGCCGGCGCCAGAGGTGTCCCTAAAGGTCCTCCCGGAGCGCCAGCAGCGCCAGCACGACCAGGATACTGCACCACACCGGGGCGGGCTAGGGCGGGCGGAATGGAAATGAAATGGAAAGGTCTGCAGACGGCGGCCCGGGCTAGCCCACTTTAGCCCCACAGCCAGCAAGCCAGCCTACCTGGCGAGCACCTGCACGGCCTTTGTGTAGTCAGACGTAGCCAGGGTCGGACGGGGTTGGGCCGGCGCGACACCCCGCCGCCGTGCCGCCACCGTCCTCACTTTCGTCCTCTATCAACCCCGCCTCCTTCTCGGCCGGGCGGCCCGGCCAGGCACAATCGTCGTCGCGTTCGTCGTGTTCCTAGGCGTGGGCGGGCACGGCGGGGAAGGGAGGGGGAGGATGAAAGCGAAACCTCATCAGAGAGATATTACTCCTCGTTTTCGTTTTTCCGGCAACCGAAGGCCCGGCCTCGCCCCGCCCGGCCCTACCCCACCGAGGGCCCAAGGCTGGCCCAGGGCATCCCAGGCCCCGCCGTCCCGTTAGGTGAGGCGTGGTGGAGAAGGGGGAGGGGCACACTCACTGCCCCGCGGCCCTGGGAACGTGACTGCCTGCTTAGCCACCAGGGCGAGCCGGCCTCTGTCTTGTACCGTCTGCCTGTTATTGCTGCCGTTGTCGTCGGCTAAGCCCAGCGAGCGCCGTCGTGCTGTCGCGCCGTCGTGCCCCCGGCCGGGTCTAGAAGGCCGTCCCGGCTGACCCATATTTTCGCTTTCTGTTCATCCTCATTGAGCGCGGCGAACCCCTCGTTGTCGTCGGCGACCTCAGACGAGGCCCCCGGGCCCCGGACCGGAAAAGCGGTCCGCCTTCCAAGAACGAGTATGAGAAGCTCGTCGGTCAGAGTTGGCCATTCGGGCGGGGCGCCGTTCACGGCGGCCTTTAGGGACCGTAGCCGCGGCAGCCTGGTGGCAGCGGGCCGCCCGCGCACTTTCTAGCCGGCAGGCCCGGCGGCCCGGAGGCCCGGCGGGGCAGGTCAAGAAGGCCCAGCTCGAGGAGGCACGGCGGCACAGCCCCGCCGGCGAGGAGCTGCCGAGGGAAAGGCGGCATGAGGCTGCGCCCCGCGGCGGGTCGGGCAATCGATGCCGTCATACGGCGTGCGTCGCGGCGCGGCGGACACGCCACTGTACTTCCTCGCCGGCAAGCTCATTGGCCTGCCCGCCGGCCCGCCGGACGCCAGGAAGCGGCCGGCTGATCATGACGGTCAGCGGCGCGCCGCCACGCAGCCACGCAGCCACGCCCGTTCCGCGGGCCGCCTTTGCCTCCTGCCTCTTCCACTTTCGCTTAATTTTCACTCCAATTTGCCCCGCCGATGAATCGGCCACAGCGCCCCTCGCTGCCTTCCGCGCACGCGCGCGCACACTGCCGGCGCGCACACGATATCGGCCTTATCAAAACACGGCGAGCTGGCGCGCACGCGGACGCACCTTGCCAAGCATTGCCAAGCGACGCGCGAGAAGGAGAAATGAGCGGAGAGGGTCTTGGCCTTCCGGAAGCGAAGCGAGCGGAGCGCGCCGCGTGGACGCCAACTACGTAGCCACGTAGCCGGCCGGGCGCCGCCACTGGGCGCGTCTCCGTCCGAGAAATGAGCCCCGGCCCGGACATTCGCGATCGACGCGCGGGGTCCTGCACCCTCCTTCGTCGGCGCACGCGCCCAAAAATCCGGATAGGACTGGCTGGCTTCGAGCTTCGCCGAGCTTCGCGGTGCGTCATTGGCCGCGGCACTTGGGTGTAGAAAGTGGACCAAAAGCGAGTGAGTCACTGACCGCGGCACCGCGGCAGCGCGGCGGCAGCGCTACCGCCAAGGCGCCAAGGCTGCGCCGGGCTTCGCTATCCCCTCTACTCCGCGAGTCCCTTCGCCACGCCCGGCTCGCGCCTCGCGCCTCGAGCCGCGGGTCGTTGAACTAGTGCCGAACTAGCCTGGCAAGGGCAGCGTGCATCATCCCTCGACAGGGGATGTCCTGGCCCGGCCGGCCCGGCTGACACTCGCCGCGCCACCGGTTCCTGGCGAAAGCAGTCCGTCCGCGCCGTGGTCCACGGTCCCCGGTCCCCGCTTGCGCAACGCCCGCCGCGTGCCGCGTGCCGCCGCATGCGTGGGGACGGTGGCGACCGCCTTTGTTTAGTTCGACGAGATGATCGTGGCGGGGCGTGGCGGGGCGTGGCGGGGCGTGGCGTGGCGGGGCGGGGCGGGTGCGGTGTGGGTGGCCCCGACCGGCGCGTCGTCGGCGAGGTGTCGCGTGCACAATGGCGCTCTCCGCAAATCCGCCGGTCCCCCGCCGGGCGGACCACAGCGGGCCCGCGCAGGCCTCGGCTCCTTTCAAGCGCCGAAAACGGCGAGCGCGATTGACAGGGGACATTGGGTTCTGCAGGCTCCAGGGTCGACGACCAGGCAGTGTGTGCGGGGCAACGACCGCGCCGACGTCGGCCCGATCATTCGATCGCATTGTCTGGCCACAGCGAGGCCTCGAACCTCGATCGAGACACGGATCCAGAACGCACGGCAGGGTGGCGCCGTGGCTGGACGACGTCGACGCCGCCGACGCCGGGCCCGAAATCGTTATCTGATCTATTCGCGAACCGCAACGCTCACGCGGACGGCCCCCTGGCGGCCGTGGCAGCACGGTGAGCTCGCTTTCCAGGAGCCGTCCTGGCCATCGCCATGCTGGCCATGCTGGCCATGCTGGCCATGCGCGTCCAGGCCCTGCCGGCCGCCCGGCTACGGCCCGGCTGCCCAGGCGATCTGGAGCGGCGTAACGGGAGTGCTGCAGGCCGGCTGGGCTGGGCTTGGGGCTGGGCTAGGCTAGGCTCCGCGCCAACCCGGCCCGGCGGCCCGGCCTTCCGAAGGAAACCGAAGGAAACTGGCACGGCGCGCCGAACCGTCACCATGTGAGGACGGGACGACGGAACGCTCAATACACAAACGGCATGGCAGTCCGCGACATGCATTCGTTCTGCGGGTTCTGCCGCCAACGCCTTTCCGCGGGTCGCGGACTCGAACTCGAACTCGAACGGACCCTGAACGGGGATCGCGCTCTTTCTTGAGGCATCCGGCGCTTTCGAAAACGGGACGCCGGGATGGACGGCGGACAAGCCATTGACAGGGACTAGGACGCCGTCCAGGCGGCTGGCCGTCTGCTTCCGAAGGGTCGCGTCGTCGCTCTGTCTCTGTCGCACTCATGGGGCGGCCCGTACGGGTGCGAGAGAGACAGAGCGACGAAACAAACCGGAATGAGGCACGGCGGATCTGGCCGCGGCCTCGGCGGGGCGCTGAACACTGCTTCGCGCTGCTTCGCGGCCGGGCTGGTTGCGGGCCACCGCAGGACAGGTGGCGGCGCCGCGGCCGCGGGCACGAGGAGGACGACCAGGACGACCAGGACGAGGCACGTGCGCCGCTTCGGCTCGGCCTGACTTGGCGCACCGCAAACTACTCCTACACTGTCTACTGCTGCCCGCCGCCGGCAAAGCGGCCTGACAGCGGCGCGACGTGAGGTGCGGCGGGAGATCGACACGGCAACTGATTCGCACCCCGCTTGTGGCGCATCACGTCGTGCAAGTGCGAGCTGCGGCCCGCGGATCGCCGACGCCTTCTCGTGTGTCGGAGGTTCGGGGAGCGGGCCGCGTCGGGCCGCGCCGTTTTGGGCAGCTTCCAGACGAGCGCGGTGCGGCGGGCCTGGCGGCCTGGCGGGCCTAGCGGGCAGCTTTCACGAAGCGTCAGACACACACGCACACACGCCGCCGGTGGGGGGCACTGAACGGACCTTAAACTTTAATTCATAGTACAATTTTATTACGTGCGGCGGAACGAATCGCTCGATGATTCTATTGCCACCATAAATGGTTCCGTTGAGGCGCCACGACGGAAAGTCGGGGGAGTGGAAGGGGCGCCTAGAGACAGTGTCGAGGCGAAACAAGAAAAGATGCGCTTGGAAACGGAAAAAAGGGTTGGGGGAATGAAGCAAACGGCGACGGCCGACGGGCGTGTCGGTGGGCGCGGCGCGGCGTGGTCCCGGTGCGTCTCGCCGCCCTACATCGCCTCCTCGGCGGCTCGGCGGCGCCTTGCCACCAGGACTCGCCGCTCTCTGGCGGCATGGCGGCATGGCTGGTATAATAATCAGATTATACACCGAGACCCGCTGCCCCGCCGCCACTCCGGTGCTTCTCGTTCTTTTCGTTCGTTTCGTGGGCAGGCGGCCAGGCCGACCGGGCCAGTGATTATATTACCTCCAGCCGCCCTAATACAGTGTAGTGCGCGGGCCGACGGCCGATCGCCGGCAGGAAGCGATGTTAGAGGACAAGGAGAAAGGAAAAACGAGCCGGCGGGATTCGAACCTCGGAGGAGCGTCTCCCCATACAAAACTGACTTGCCTTGTTTCTCCACACACGCGGCTTGTGCCACTCCCCTGCTTTCTTCCCCCTCCCCCTTTCCCTCTGGACGTCCAAACCAACACAGTCCCGCAACGGGCGATCGGACCGGCCCCCTCCCAGCGGGCCCGGGCGGCCGCGGCCAGGGCGGCAAGGGCCCAACACACGGCCGGACCCCGCGTCGCCCCACCCCGCCGCTCCCCGCCACCCGGGTGGCATTCCTAACCTACTTCCCGTTGCGGGGTTCACCGCTCGGCACGGTGTGGGCACGGTGTGGGCACGGTGTGGGCACGGTGTGGGCACGCCGCGCCTCCGAGACGCCGCCCGCCATCTCCATAACGATAGTAACGTGATACAGTGCCGTGGTCCTGGCGGCGCTTAGCCCTTGGCCCTTCCCTCCGTCGGCACCGTTAGTATGGCATTGGGAATGACGCAACTCCAAACCGCGCTCATCAACGGCCACCCCGACGACGACGCCCCAGGACACAAGGCGATCAGGAATTCGGCGTGGATCCGATTTCCCTTAAGCCGGTGGGCCGCCGCTTCGGCGCTTAACTTCGGCACTTCACTTCACTGCGGCCTGCAGCCGAGGATGTCCACTGTAATTAACGGCCGAAGTGGCGGCGCTTGGCGGCCCATTCCAAAGACAAGCTCGGCGACACGGCCGTGGCAGTGCCGTGGCGGTGGCGCAGGCACACCGGCGGACGCATCATTAAAAGAAAGCGACAATGCCCCCTCCCCCTCCCCCGCGGGCTTGGAGCGCGAAGCGGCAAGCGGCGCGAAGCGGAGACGGAGACGCGGTGAAGCTCATGTGTGTGAAGCCCTCCTCTGCTCTCACTCGATGACGTCTGACGGGTTCGGGATGCCACGAGACCGCTTTCCAAGCGGGCATGTTGGAGCCGCCGCCGGTCGCCGCCGGCCACCGGCGTGCGGAGAGGAAGGCAGCCGGGCAGGCCGACGACGCGGTGAACGCGGTGAACGCGGTGGTCGTGGAGCGACCTGGACTTCCCCTTTCACACGGCCCCGGGCCCCGTCTTGAGTGCGTCTTGCTGCGCGGCTCAAGGCGAGGGTCGGTGCGCCGCGGTCAGGGTCTGGGTCGCCGCGCCGGCCGCCACCATGACCGCCACCATGTCCGCCAACAAGGCTGCAGTGCTGCAGGTCGCTTCCCACCCACACGGCGCGGCACAGCGCCCGTATGCACTTTGAGACACCACGCCACAATGGTTCACTTGGTCCGTGTCCGATTTCCAATTGTCTTGCTCACTCAATCACTCACTCGACCATTCTTCACTCTCATGACGATGGTACTCCTTCACTCCACGCAGTCACTCCGCCGCACTCGCAAACTCACCTGCTCAACGTCACTGGTAAGTCCTCGAGGGAAAATTCACCAAACACTCAACTTGAACACACACACTCTCACGAAGCGTCCCCGGCAAAGACTCGGCACTGAGTGGACACGCCAGCTACCTTCAACTTCCTTTATATACGATGACCCACTTTTCCTGCCCGAGCCCAGCACAGCCCAGCGAGCTACGTACCCCGGGCCGGTGGTGGGGGGCGCTGGGCGGGCCGGCGGGCAGGTGGGGCGGGCAGGTGGGGCCGGGTGGGGCGAGGTGAACCTTAGAACGAATGGACGGAGGTGGAGGAGAGGAGGAGGAAAGGGGCGGCGTGGCGGAGGAACAAGGACGGAGGCGTGGGGCCCTGGCCGAGGCCCTGGCCGAGGCCCTGGCCGCCAGTCAGGTGCACCACGCACTTCAGGGCCTCGTGGAGGACGCTCTGGCCGAGCTGCCGGCCGCGGGGGTGGCTTCCATGCCGCAGGGGAGGATTCCAGCCGATAGAGCCCCCGGAAGGCGGACAAGGCAGGCAAGAAGGACAGCATCTGCTTTGGCGCATCTTCGCTGCGCAGGGTTTCCTGCTTGCCTATCCGCCCATTCGCGATGAACCAGCATCCAGGAGGCCGCAAAAAAGGCAAACTCTGGACGCATCAGATTCACTCTCACGCCCTTATGGTTGGTGAGACCCCGCGAGGTCACATTCCGTGCCACAAAAGAAACAACAACAACAAAAACAACCTGCACGTCTTAAGATGCGGTTAACCCAATCATTTTTAAACGCTTGCCAAAAGAGCCATCGAGAACCCTTTCCCCCGGAGGACACCGTCAGAGGGAGAGAGAGCCACGGCGGCGGCGGCCTGCGTCACACCTTGCATGTCCTGGAAAAGCCCACGCCGCCGCCACTGCGCGCGCCCCGGAGTCACACCGGGAGTCGCTCCGGGAGTCAGCTGCTGGAACTGGAGAAGACACGACGGCCATATCGCGGGGCGGGGCGGGGCCCTGCACTTTCCAGCTGGCTGGATGGCACAGAGATTCGAATCTGATTCAGAGGCCGCCGTCGCCGCGCCAGGACCCCTGCCGGCGTTCCACAGGTGTCCCGGTGTCCCGCCCGTCGTCGGGGGCGTGTCAAATTTAGAGGCGGTCGTCGGGGCCGCGCCGGCGAGGACGTGCACATCGCCCTTAAGGTACCGTACGGGGGCGTGGCGGGTCAAAGGGGCACTGCGAGAGCCACCCCGCGGCGTGCCCGGACGCCAACGGACGCCTGTCATGGTGCACAATGCCAACGTTAGTCAGACTTATTGACCGAGATTATTCCTCCCCCCCCCCTCCTTTTTGTCCTCTTCGGTCTCGGCGTTCTCGGCCGCACCGCCGCCGGGTCGGCATGTGTGGAGCAGAGACCTGAACGCGGGGGACCGACGTCCTGGTCCTGGTTCCTGGTTCGCGGCCGCCTGAGCGAGGTAAACATTCTGGCGCCGCCACTGTTCGGGACTCATCGGCGGATTGGCGGCGATCCGCCCTCGGATTCCCGGATAGGCCGCGATAGCTCGCGATAACGAGGTAATAACACACTCGGCTTCCGTCGACGACCCACTGGCCTTGTTGGGCAGGGCGGCAGACGAGGCAGGGGCGCGCTTCAGTGTGGATGTGGGGCGACGCGCCCGAAACCGAAATCGACCGAACGGCGGCGGAGCGGGAACGCCATTCTGAAAAAAACAAACAGCCGGCAATTAGGCTACCGCTCTGCATTGCTCTGCATGCATTGGGAGCTCGGCTTGGCCGGCGCCTCGCGCCTCGCGCCGCGCCTCGGGCCGCGCGCCGCCACGCCGCCAGGAGGGCGCGGGGAGCGCGGAGCGCGGAGCGCCGAGCCTCGCGGGGACGCAGGTGTGCGCGGGGGGACGGCGAGGGGGCGGGGCGGGGGAGCCGGCGTCACCGTTAGAACGGCTAGCAGGCCAGGACGCTGCCAAGTGCGTGTGCGTGTGTGCGTGCAGTGTACGCATGCGTGCCACCTCTGGCCCTGGCTGCATACCTCGCGAAGGACGTATATTACTTGGGCGAGGCGGTGAGGGTTACGCCCATGCGGCTTGATGAGACTCGTGGCCACGGAGGGCCGCGCGCACCGCCCCGAGCGACACACGCCCTCGCCCTTCGCCCCATTCCGCGCACAGCGCCCCGTCGCTCTGTCTCCCTCGCACCCCTTCGGCGCTCCCATGCGAGAGAGAGAGAGAGACGGAAACGATGTGCGGAGTGAGTCGGCGGATGGATAGGGCTCTTCGGCGCACATGACCCCTGCTGGTCCACCGCCTGACGGTACTGACGAGCACGTCGAACGGGGAGCAGAGGGGAAGTCCCGTTAGAGGCCTGGCTTGGCGTCGTCGGTCCTCTACTGGTGGTGGACAGCCCGCCCCGCCCCGCCCCGCCCCGCCCCGCCCCGGCCTCGGCCGTCATGGTACTAAACGGCCAGGGCAGCAGGAGGCCGGCGGCGGCGCGTGGAGGCCGGAGGCGGCGCGTGGAGGCCGGCGTCGGCCGGCGTCGGCCGGCGTCCCCCGCGGCCGCGGCGCCTCCCCGGGGCGTGGGGCCGCTTCGGGGTCCGGGAGGTCCGCGCCGCCGTGAACAGTAACTCCAAAGTGCCCGCGGCTCGTAAAGGGCCTCCGTGTATGCATACGTGGAACCCGCCCTTCGAGTACAACAAGTGCGTGCACCTGCATGCGTGCGTCCGGTTCTCCTCCTCCTCCGCCCTGTTTCTGCGCGGCGCGGCCGGCGCGGCGTGTGAATGGTTCCCGGGGAACAGGATCGCACCCGTTACAAGTCGAATGTTTGGAATGGAGATGAGCGCGGCCGGGACCGCTGCTGTGGCGGAGGTGGCCGCCGTGCCGCCGTGCCGCCGCCACGATGTGTTTAGCTCGGCGTCGACGTCGAGGTGCCGCGGCGGTGGCAGACACGTTTCGCGTTTGATACGGAAAAAAGAGGTTCTGATTCTGCGGTCACGCCGAACCCATTATCCATTGCGAGCGACATAACACGAGCGAAGGAGGCGCGAAGGGGCGAACGGAGCACCGCGACGAACCGCACACCGCGAGCGGGAACAAGTCCCGCCTCGAAAAAAATAAATAAATTCGGAAAAGGGGTAATTTTTGTTGGTAAAAGTGTGTTTTTGTTCTCCTACTTTGTTAGTAAAAGTGTGCCTTGCTCCCCCATCATTGCCGTGCTCGTCGCCATCGGGCAGGAGCTGCAGGACAGGAGCGCGTCTCCGAGCCGCGGCGCTTTTTGCCGCGACGCGCGGCGGCGGCAGGGCACTGGTCCATGGCGGGCGAGGCTGGCGGGGCAGGCGGGGCGCGGCGCGCAGCCAGAAAGGGTTGCCAGATCGAATTAGGCCGAGGAGGAAAAGGAGAACGGAGGCGAAACAAAAAAAATGGAAGAAGATCAAGAAAGAGGAGCGACGAGGAGAATAGAACACCTCGATTCCTCATTTGTTGCCAAATTAGAAAAGGGGGCTCTCGCCGCGGGCAACATTTCTTCGGACAGGTACTAAACGCCGAACCGTTGCCGGGATCTCCTCCCTTCCCTTCCCTTCCCTCGCAGTGCAGCAGTCCAGCGCATCGGCCGCCGTGGCCATGCCGGCGGGGTGCATGGTGCATGGAGGTGCATGGAGGTAAACACGCCCAGCCCGAGAATGGAACGAGAGGGAAGGTGTCCTGTCCTATCGGGCACAGACCTTGACCCAGGGCTGCCTGCTGCTTCTACCTGCGCTGCCCGGAATCAAAGCCTCGCCTCCGTTATCCCAGACGCACCTGACTGAAGCGTGATGATGCCCCCCCCCCCCCCCCCCCGGGCGTTTGCTCTGCTCCTCGACGTTCGTCGTCTCATCGACGCAGCGGCAGCAAAGCAAGGCAGCAGCAAGCTGGCCGTCGTCGAAGTGACCACGCCGAGCTCCATGGCCGCTGCCGGCTGGAGGCCCCCCTTGAGTGCGCTCCGAGTCCGTGGCGGTCCCCGCGGGGCGACGCGATGGAGTCCCCTCGGGGGTCCGTCCGCCAATGACACGGCGGATCGCCGTCGCGTTAAAAACCTGAATCTTTTGGCGCCGATCACGGGGCCGCGGCACTGGCGCACGCACCGTTAGTGACACGACGCCGGGTGCAGTGCCTCGCCACGCCGTCTCTCTCGCGCCCCTATGAGACGCCCCGCGAGTGCGAGAGAGACAGAGCGACGGAGCGGCGGCATCGGTGGCCTGGTGGCGGGGCCGTGATAACGAACAGCACCGCAGACAATTAGGACGCGAGCACCAACAACAGCGGCGGGGAGACGCAGGTACCACATCGTACCACAGCAGCCTGATTCCGAGCACTGCTTTCGACGCCGTCTCTCTCGCTCCCTGACGGGACTCCCCATGAGTGCGAGAGAGACAGAGCGATGAGGGCAGTGCTCGGACTCAGCCTGCTGGGCCTCCGGGACCGGGTCACGCAGTCACACACGCAGGCCTCCTTCGGCACGGCCAGCACGGCCAGCGCGGCGCGGTGGCACGCGGCGTGGACCACCCCGGGGGCGGACGTGACGTCACGAGACGTCTGCGGCAGCTGCAACAACAGCAACGACAACAACGCCGGTAGCGCGCAGAAAAAAGACGGCGCCTGTCGCATGCTGTCGCGTGCTGGGCTACAGGCTCGTATGGAAACCTGAACGCTGGAGTCGTCTAAGAGAGCCGCGATGCGGTCGTGGAGGAGGAGGGGGTGGAGGCAGACCGGCAGAAGAGCGGCGTTACGGAACTTCTGGGCATTTGGCCGCGGCGCGTGCATGTCGCGAATAGCGCATCGTGCACGGCGCATTGTGTTGGCGGGCCGGGCGGCAGGGGGGCCGGCCACTTCTTATGTTATATCGAGAGTGAAAGCTGGATGCAACAATTTCATGATTGGTCGGCGAGAAGCGGCGCAGTGCGCGATCCGCGGCGCGGCGGCGGGGGCGCGGCTGCTGGTGTGGAGGGGGAGGGGTGAGAAGCTCGCAGGGGTACTCGCCCCCTCGAGGCGGAACTTGCATGTTCGCCCCTATTGTGCTGCATTTCGCACGATGCGGCCTTGGTGCGGTGCGGGCCGCGTTGCGGGCCGCGTTGGCGTGCCGGCGTCCTG